ATAAACTGTAGATAAAAATATTATTTCTTAAATAACAAAGAAAAAAAGATCTATATACTATAAATTTCATTGCTATTCTTTTTCAAAAACTCGGTATTTCCTTAAATATTTACTCGGTAGACATCTTCGTAAAAATGTTGTAGTTAGAGGCAATTAAAAAAATGCCAAGTATTGTATAGGATAAAATTTGTCATTTATTATGGAAGAAGAAAAAATTGCAACAGTTCTAATGAAGTCAAATGAGATGCCGAGCTTGACACAATTACTTAAAAGTAAAGATAATTGATTATTCTGCAATTGATCAATAAATTGGTAAGGAAATTACAAAGATATAAACATGTATAACATTGGCGTGCAAGCTTTTAAACATGCAATTTTTAATTATTACATTAATTAAAAATAGTGTATGGAATATAGAAACTTTATTTTACTTTTTTGTAACTCGTTATTTTTAATAAATTTGAAATAAGATATTTAAATAATAATATATCAAAATTTATATAATTTGTGTGACTTATATTGTATTGATATAAATATTCTAATGTATCATTTTTTAATATTTCGTCCTTACAATATAAATTAATAATAAAAATTAAAAAAAAAAATTAAAAGTTATTATTTCAGAGACGTTTAAAAAAAGTTAAGTCAAATAAATAACAATAATATATTTAACTAAATAATTCAAATATCTTCATAATTTTTAATACCTCGATTGCAAAAATCGCAAATATTATAAATACTTACCTGTTTTTAATTTTATTGTAATGAAAGGATCAAGGAATATTAATTAATAAATTAAATAAGTTAATGAGTAAATGAAACAAAGAAATTTATGAATAAGCTATTATTTTTCGTGTTTACATTATAAAGTTTATATAATCTATCAAGGTATGAAATATAAATATAGCGACAAAGTGTATATCTATAGTTTTATAACTACAATAAACGTTGACATCGGTTTACCATGTGTAATAAAAAATATTCATGTTACAATACTAGAAAACTTAACGCAATTGGTTCAAATATGCTATTTACAAAAATTCTATAATCGCATGTTGGAAATTTAATTATGCTACACTTCTTATCTTTATGCAAGTTTTATTAATTTTGATATTGCAAATTTCTTGAAACTTTAATATACGATAATAATTAGTTATTGACCAATATTAATTCTCTAATATTAATAAATTAATGTATTAAAATTTAATTTCATAATATAAAATTTTTCTGTTGATATACAGCAACTCCAAAGTTTAATTATTTTTTTTACGGAGGAATATATCCATTGAAAATAAAGTGACATTGAATTGGTGTATGCGTATTTTAATTTACGTAATTTATGTAATGCGTTTTACAATTATAAATGTAACGGATATTTATTCGTTATTGAAAAATAGAAATTTTTATCGACTTTAATTCGACTAAATCAGTAACAAATTTAAATGTCGGTGAAACATTATTTATATTAATTAAGGAACAAAATCTTAGCATAATATAACTCCTCATATCGGTCCAGGCAATGACAGCGAGGCTATTCATTCTAATCTTGTAAGCAAATTAAATTTACCTTAATGTTAATGTCCCATTATCTATATTTATATTCATTATTATAAAATTCTATAAAAAGTTCATTTATGACAATTTTCAAAAGAGAAAAAGAAAATATATTTAATGTAAATCAAATCAATTTAATATAATTTATCGTTAGATTATAAACAGTTTTATAAAAATTGAAAACGGAAAAAGAAACAGTTTAATAAAGTTATTTAAATTTTGAAAATACTTTTTATCTAATTTAGTAAACAATGAATTTTTACTATTGTTTTAATATAATTTTTATAATAAAAATATATCATATTTAAAAGTAATTAATAATAATTGAATTAAAATTTTTTACTTTATTATTGATACATCTTTGATATAATTTATTTTATTATAAATTAAATTAGTTTATTAAGTCGACTATTAGATAAGTCGTTAGATAAGTCGTTTATTAAGTTGACTAGTCGACAATCATTAAGGATATTGATAATAAAATATGTTTGATCAAAAATTAATTTACACCTGAGATATACATTGTTCACAGAACAGTAAGTAATGTAACAATATTCTTCTTCTATTTACTTTTAACAATCCTACTAATATATAAAAGATAGCTTTCTATATCCAACATATACATTCGCACGCTAATAGATTTCAATAATATAAGAAAAAACTTATTATTATAATTGACATTCATTCAACACTATCATATATGTATGTCAATAAAAAAATTATACACAATTCGGTATATAAACACATAAAATATGAAAGCAGAATTTCAATACGATTATAGAAAAAGGCAATGAATTCTCACTCAAATGAGCATGAGCTCGATAAAGGCATCATAAAGTTTTATAAAAAAATTTGCTAATAGCTTTAATTTTCTAATCACCTTTCTCATAAAAAATAAGATATGGCAGATGTACATACGAGTCACCATCTCGCGTAATGTAACAATATACATACAGAAAATGTTATCTATATTTTCTATAACTGAATTACACACGTTACATATTAATCGGTAAAAAAGTACCTGTCCCTGAGACAAGTTGCCAAACAATGTATTAAATAATGTATATTTTTACGAAAAAATGTTATGAGTAATAATGTCTCATGAAAATATAAAATTTGTAAAAAGTATTTAAGAGCATGAAATAGAATATTAGACAGGTTTGAAGTTATTAAATTCTATGATATCTAGAAAGTACCAAGATTGTGTAGTATGTAGTTAAGTTGTATTAAGAAATACGAATCTGTAGCATGGAAACAGGGCAGAATACTGCCGTCATTGCAGAACAATTGTCTGTTAATTCTGACTTTCAATTCCGGTAGCAACACAGCATTGCAAGCAACATTATTAACATTTAAGAAAGAGAGCGAGCTAATGCTGTGAAAGGAATGTGCTACGTTGCAACAAACAATGCTGCTCCTCCTAATTAATTGGTTATTTCATATTAATAATTAATTTACTATAAGTGAACTTTTCAATTCCAGTTTAGGATCTGATTACCCTATTAAGAAGTTAAGAGTACATATCTAATCCTGAAGATGACTTAATTCATAATTATGTTGTTGAGTGAGTAAAGAAATATGAAAAGCGTACGTTAATAAAGCGCTAATTATTCTAAATTATCCAAGGAAATCGATTCTTCGTTATTCATTTTCACTTCAAAGATAATGAATGCCAGAAGTCCAAACTTTCAATTTATGTAACAGAATCAAAAATTTTATTATCAGCTTTATGGATATCTTCTCAAAGATCAGATTTGTTCTGCATGATCTCTTCTGAGCAATTTCTGTAGTGAATAAAGAGAAAAGAACAATAATACAATGTTCTTCCGTAACAAACATGATCAATTTTACTATTCGCAATTGAATGATAATTTACAGAAAATAAAACAAACACATATGAATTAATTATGAACTATAACAAATATCAATATTAGGTGGCTAAATATGTTATATATATATTTTTGTTAAGCTGTATAATTAAACGGCAAATGCTAATTTAGTTGGTGAAAAGTAGATTTATTATTTTTATTTTTATTATTACGGGATCTAGAATCTGATGTTTTAATTTAAAAATACTGATTTTATACATAATTATCCTTTGTTAATTTATATAATTGAAAAAGAAACCAGAAATTTCTTAAATAAAATATTTATATGTATTAGTTAGAGTATCGCCAGCGAACACAGTTATATATTAACATTTACAAAACATAAATTCGATGTCAATAGTATATTCTTTAATACAATAATGGTGGAAAAATAATGAGAACAAAATTAATATAAAAGATATTTCTATTCATATTTATAAAAACGTTCGAATTAGTCTTTATAGATTTTAAAATGGTTATCCTTTCATTAAGTAATATTAAGGTTAATTGCCACGCTAAAGTTACTACAAACACATTAGATAAAATAAAAATTTTTTAATTATTTAATCGCAAATTTGTGGAAGAAGCTATATTATTACCTTATTTAAAAATAGACATTACATGAAAGTGCATAAAATTATTAAAATTTAGTAAGACGATATCCTATAAATTTCCATTTTTACCCTTTTATTGTGATTTTCTATGAGCCCTTCATTTGTTCACAAGAAACATAATTAATGCGAAAATTAGTTTTCATCAATATATGTTATTAATAAAATTGTCGATACTCTTTATATACCAATCAATAAACAAATTAACTTATTTTCTCACATAAATATAAATCAAGAAAAATAATATATCAATGAACTAAATTTGTCGACATAGATGATTTTTAATTGAATATTGATTCAACAAAAAAAAATACTACTAAAATATAAATATATATAACATCCAGTTTAAGAATTAATTTACTAAAATATGAAATTATTCTTTACAAACATAATTAAAGCTTATAGTAACTTTGTCCTAGGATTAAGAAGATAAGACCTTAGAATTTGAATGCTATTGATAATGATTTTCGTCAATAATTTATAAATAAGGAAATTTCGCACAAAATAAAATATTGATATAATTATATTAATTATTATTGGCTGTAGTATATCTATTCACAATATTATAGTTATAATAATTATAAACAAAGTTGTACAATTACTTATAATTGATATATTTAAATTAAATTTTAATTATTTATGATAGAAAAATATTCATTTGATAAAATTAAGTATGAGACAAAATTATTTTATTTTTACTATCTGTCAAGTATATACAATTTATAAAAATAACAATTTTGCCTAAAATAATTAATTCTGAAATCATTCACATTCTTTAAATTAAGATGCATTAGTCATTAAAATTTATTTTCATTGTCTTTAATTAAAAAATTGAAAATCAGTATACAAATTTTTTTTTATACAAATCCTCTTCGTCACTATCATTTCATACAACGTAGATCCAATAAAGATATTGGCTATTTACATATAAGAATTTTAAATTTAAAAATAAATTGTAAACAAGTCACTTATAGCCCATCATGCATACTGTCTCTTCACGAGTAAAACAATAATCATAAAATATAATTTATAAAACAACGAAACCAGAAGACAATAACAAGTCAACAATGTATTCCATCATCTATAATCCAAAAGACAATAAAACGACAAAAATTCTTTTTCAATGCAATGGTACAATCTTGACGAGATTATATTTTTAATGAATTCTAGATAAAATAAATAGTTTTTGCCATCTGGTTATTGAAAATATAATGAAAAAGTGTATTATTGTGTACATAGATGTAACGATGACGTATGCGAATGTTAATTATGTGGGTTAGGTAACATATTCAACATGTGACAGAAGTCGATGAAGCAGCAGATGAAATAAACACACGCATATGTACATGTACGCGTTCTTGTAACGGCAATATTTGGGACTGGATGAACGCATAAGATTGTTTGATCATTTTTTTATACATGTTTCTACGTATTACAACCTTCGAAGCGAGGCCATACTGAGGGTACTGCATTTAGCCTTGCGAGTCGGCTGGACCGACATAGGTGCAACGAGAACCTCGTCTCGTGACGGTGAACCTGAACCACCGTTGCCCAGTTCCTGGAAAGACACACAGAATAGTATAATCTACACATAAATTATTTATTACTAAATTGACGGAGCACGTCTTCGTAGTTTAAGGTAACTTATTATTGTTTAAATTCAATGGTTAAATTATAATAAATTTTTGATATGAGATTAATGGTGAGATTATGCTATACAAAAATTTAAGAAACAATGTGATATTTTGTATTATCGTAATTCTTAATAAATAATTATATAAGACACTATTTTAGCTGGAAAAATAGTTATGTTCAAAAATTTATTCCATTATTTTCTAAAGTAATAAATCACTTAGTATTTCTGCATTGTTAATACGGATTAATATACCTTCAATTTTTTTATTATAATTAATTCTGAATATCATGTACAAATACAAGTTACATATAATTTGACATTACTGGCATAATTGACTGTAAGTGAATATTAAATATATATTAGGAGATATTTAATTATAATTCAAAAACATAGAAGTTAAGTGATAAAGATATAATTAAAAATTAATTTTCTATTAATCAGAAGTATTAGCAAAATTTTCATGAAAGAAAAAGAATTTTTTCATATTTTTGGTTGTATAAAACATCATTATTTTATACATTTCTATATGTCCTTCGATAAATTTATATGATGCGGCCCGTTTTAAAAACAGATTTTAGTAATAGTATGAAATTCATACAAATTCTTTAAAATATTTTATTCAAATGAACATTATTTTCATTCAAAATCTTTTATCATCTTCTAAAATAATTTGCTTTTTTGTGACAAACGTTAAAATTTATTATACATAATTAACGTAGATAAAAAGCGGTATCACAATTTTAAGAATATATAAAAAGCTTGAAGATGTCAGTTCATAACTAATATAAACAATGCTGAAAGGTATGAAAATATGAATTTCATTAAAAAAATCTGTCCATTAAGTAATATTTTAGTATCCAAGGTCTATCATGAACATGATATGAGGGCTCTCAAGTAATTTCTTTAAAATTTTCTACAATTCTTATATTGAACATAAGAAAATCTTTTATTAAATTTACTGTTCCATTAAAAATATAAAAAAATATTTGAAAGAATACATTCTAATTTCTATAATCATTCAATACCTTTGTGCGTATATAGATATTATATTCAAACTCTTTTTTTTAATATTTTTAATGAAACTGTAAATATAATAAAATATTTTAATTATAAATTTACAGTATATATATATATATATATATATATATATATATATATATATATATATACAGATATATTTTGACATAAGCACATTTTATAGAAAATTGTATCCATTTCAAATAGTTGGGTAACTTTCATAATAAAGTACAAGTTACAATTACGTTAAAAGTTTAAACAAATTATCATAATCAAAATCATTGTTAATCTTAACTTAAAATGTATTAACAAAAAATTATATTTATATTTTATAATATTTCGATTAAATAAATATATCGTTTAATATAAAAATACATTAAATGATACATGCCTTTGATATATTTAACAGCAAATAATATTTTTTCAACAGTATTTAAAATATAATTCAATTCTTAGGAAAAAATTGTATTTAATTTTTACTGAAGATTAAATAGTTTAATAAATATAGTAATGAACATTTGCATTTCATTAATTAAAACTTAAGATGAAAACATCCATATACCATATATAAATACCGTCACCAAATATTTATGAGATACTTTCAAGATCTAATGTTTTATTTGATTTATTATTTTTGAAATAATGAACAAATCATAATGAATAGTTTTATTATATGAATTGTAAACACCTTATAATAGTATTAATTACTTTATAATAATAATAATAATCTTAACATTAGACCTTTCTATTTTTAATTGACACAAAGTTTACAGTGTCGATGTAATTGTTTTTAGAGTATTTTCATTGTTATTACTTCACAGTTTTATCTTATTATTTTAACACATTTACGTATCAAAACAAGAATTATTAAATTCCACACCAAACATATAATAAACAAAATAAAATTAAAAGCACGTAATTAAAAGTCGTACATATTTATATTAAAGATATATATGTATTTCATCAACAAATATGTATAGAATGATATTGAATTAAATTATTTTTAATCAAAGTTATGAGTTCGCAAAACTTAAGATTATTCTTTCGCGTATTTCAAACATAATAGTACAATTATTTTTTATTCACATTTATCAAAGTTTAGCTGTATTATCTTAAGATAAATTCGCAGAGTATAATCAATGACTCGAACGTTCTGTCATTAAAAGAAAATAGTTAAATATTCAAGAACTTCTTATTCATTATATTTAAAAAGTCTCAGGCAGGATCATTAATTACAATTTAATTACTGTAAAAAATATTATTAATTTCAGTTGCGCTAATTGTGAAAATGTGTTTCCTAATTTAAACTATCTAATCAATTTCGCGAAGAATTTTGAGCCAGTCGAAACACTGTATTGCGTCAATCATTTGATCGCTCCCCTCAAATAATTTAATTAATCTGTTAGATTAGAAACCAAAAAAAAAGGAATCCAGTAATTTGCCAGTTAAATCTATCGTATTTAACTTAATTTATCAAAATAATTAATATGTATGGATAATCAATCATTCAAATTATACTTACTTAATTAAGTACAAAATATCCTTCCGCATTTCCATTTGATGGCATGCGCATAAAAGTTGTTCATGATTTATTAAGTACTCATGTTTTTTCGTAAAAGGAATGTTACAAACTCATACGCATATAAGAATGCTTTAAATATCAAAAAATATTTAACAAAACTGCATAAAATTTTGTTGATAATTTAAAAATCTCAGTTTCCATTATTGAAGTTCATTATTATAATATAATTAGATCAAATTTTATCATTAATTTGAATTAGTGTATAATTATACACGCATACATACTTCTTTTATATAAGTATTCAATATAAATTTTTCAATAATAAACTTTCATGCATTGAAAATAAAACCCTCAGAATTCCTTGCATAGTCATTAGGTTGAATGTTATTTCATTTAATTCTAGCTCGATTTATAATATACATAGCATACTAATAGATTTTATCAACAATAAAAAAAAGACGCTAATAATGATAGTTAATCTTTTTACACGTGCACGCGTATGCATTATTTATATATGTACGTATGCATGTAGATATTTATGTACATGTGTATATTTAGGAGTATTATATAAGTAATTAAGCGACAGTGCAATCAAGAGAAAAAGCCAAAAATTAAAAAAGGACAATATTTCAAGAACTCCATGCATCGGACGTGAATAATTTTCACTTGTAATATACTAAATCAGAATTTTAAATTAATTGTCTGCCGCAAGTCTTTTTTTATAATTACTTTTATATATATATTTTTTTGTTTTTGTTTTTTTTTATAGATATAATTTTTTGGGTATAAGGAAAAAAGTAAGCGAAGTTCAAGCGTAAAGTATCATTCATCATTACGTGCATGAGGGGGATATTATTTAACTAACGTTAATGTTATTGCAGCTGGCAAGCCTCATTTGGGCCAGCTGCTGGCTTGCCGGAGTTAGGCTGTTTGTCGAACCAAAAGGCGACATCATTGTCGACATGGCACGTTTTAGCTTACTTGGCGTCTTATTGAAACTGAACGCTCGGCCGACCTTCATCCTTGTACGCGATGCAAATCTGTGACATAGAGCAAAACAAAGTAAGTCTCATAACAAAGACCTGAAAAAGACATTTCTATAAAATTATAAGTGCAAACGCCAAACTTTCCTGCTCTCCTTGAAAATGCATATTACTTCATTATTTTTTTATTCAATTAAACTGGTTTACTAATAAGAATTACCATAAATAATTTTAATTAATTAAACAAAAACTGTTTTAATATATTAAAATATCATTTTCTAATTAATATTTAAATTATTAATAACTATGGCACTCTTCAAAAGTAATTAATAAAATTAGTTTTATTACTCATTAATTAACTTTTTTATTATAATATATTATAATTTATAATCTAGCTATTTTAATGCACAATTTAATGTTTTATAATTGATTTAGTATTAGTATTATAATTTATTAACTAGAAATATTATGAAAACAAAACGAAATAAATTAAATGATATACTTGTTACTGTAATTAAAAATTCAAGGAAAATAAGAAAATTACTTAAAGACATATTTTGCAATAACTGAATAATGAATTCCAAAATATACAAAAACAGTTCAAGTTTTACTAAGAAATAAAATTATTTAAATTTTACTATAAAAATACAAAGCATTAATATTAATTATAACTATTTATAAAACATTTCAAATTTCAGTTTCACAATGTTCATAAAATATAATTCATCTATATATATACACACACACTGGCAAGTTGATAAACTGTGAGTATATAATGGTATAAATAGAGGTGTGTGCAATAAAATAAACAAAAAGAAATTCTTGAACTGATAACTTCACTACAAAAGCAACTCAAACTTATTAATTCTATCAGGTGTGTTAAGTAGTGAACTCTACTAAGCAGATAGAGGAGGATAAAGGATAAGAGCAATTTCAAAAGTTTTAAACAGCCTGGTGCGAAAACTGACGGTAGTGGGATATGTAATGTAGTTTCACACATGCTATTGAGTAGGAACACATACGGGTCCATATACTCCAGGTAAAAATTATGAAATAGGCTCCTGTAACCAAACGTATCGTCGCCCCATTATTGTTTTGCTTTCATGCAAATCAAGGATTAATATTTATTTTATGAATTAACAACACTGATAATAATTATTAGAAAAAAGTTCATCTACTTTTTACATATAGTTATAAATATATAATTATTTAATTTAAAAAAAAATATTTAAACTAATAAGTAACATTTTTAATTAAAATAAATGTAAATTTACAAAGAATTTTTACTTAAACAATTAAAAAACTTTATCAGGTTAATTAAAAATACTGAGGCTAATTGAATACTAATAGTATTGGCCATGTATGGACACAAATTTGAAGATAAAAAAATTATTATTTTATTTAGTAAAAAGTAAAAGTACTTACTTAAATGCTTTACTTAAAGTTCCTAAGGCTACATCACTAGTATCAATTTCTAACTGATGGGAGTCGAGACTAATTAGAAATGTATCCTAAAATAAAAATATGTAATTTATTTATTTATAAAAAATTTTATTTATAAGAGACAATAAAATCTTACTGCATCAGCTTTACAAACAGTATTGGCCATTTGTCGACACAAAGAACGTAAATAATTTGTTTTATTCACCTCCTCGTCAGTAATTGTGAAAGAATATAATTTTTCTTTCAATTCTTGATTACTTCGAACCATTAAAGCAAAAACATTTCGACATTCTGTAATATTTATAATAAAGAGGTTAATAAAATTTAGCCTATTAATTATTTTCTGTATAATGTAAATATATTTATGTATAAATATTGATTTTTTATTTATTTATATATAAACATATAAAAAATAATGCATGAAATTATAAAAGAAAATTAAATGCTTAAATTAAATAAAATAATATAAATTAAATAATATAAATTGAAAAAAAAACAATATTTCTTTTACTAGACATAAAAACACGTAATTAACTGGAAGAATATTAACTCACCATCTGTTTCTCGAATATCAACAACCTTCTTTACTGTACTTAATGATAACATTTTGATATGCTTATAAGGTTTTCCTTGACTCATTTTAACAGAATGCAGTCCATTAACTGTATTTGGGCTCTTCATAGAGTTGAACGCTTTTGATCGCTTTTTGCATATTTCTAGCGTATCCGTAAACAAGAAGAGAACTAAATGGTCACCACGACCACTTAGTCCTTCACTTAATTCTTGTACATCACACTTTCCAATAAACGAACGATGCGAGGATACCAGATGTGGTGGACAATTATCGATTTCATTAAATATATCAAACATTGCTAGCTGACCTTCAGTCTTTCGTTTATCTTCGTTGATATACGTCATAACTTCCTTAATGCTACTTAACGATTTTTCCAAGGCACTATGATCTGTATTACTTTTATTTGTATGCTTAAGAATATCTAAAAATTATATATTATTAACATGTATTTATAAAAATTATACTATAAAACAAGATTCCCTTTACAATAAATAACGTTAAATAATAGTTAACTAATATAGTTAACTACATTAAAATTTCAATAATCTCGCATTCATTTTATTAATAATAACTTCTTTTTATCTAATTGTAAAATAAATTCTATTACAAATCATAAAGTTTATATTTTTTTTTATTAAATTTGAACAAATTTCGAAGGAAACAAAGAAACAAGACAAAAAATTGAATTTAATGTGCAAGTACTACTAATCAATTTAATATTAAAAATGCTTAAATAATTTAATAATCTGCTACTTATTATAATATATACTTAATATTGTTAAATCTACTGTTTAATTACTGTTAAAAATATTGTTAAATGTAAATAAAATTTATAGAGCAATTTATAATACTCACCATTTAATAATAAACTAATACTGGGAAGGCGTTGCACTGGCTTTATCAATAATTCCTTTAAACTTTGTCTACCGCACTCAGGCTTAGTCTGACATATTTTAAGAAAAGCATGAAATCGCGGTTTGTTTTGATCACATTGATCCAGCATTTCCTTTGTATTTTCGAAAAAATTTACATAAGGAGGATACGCCTTTACCAAATCCGATGCAAATTTAAGAAAGATATTTCCTATACTATTTTCTTCGGACCAATGAGCCGCACAGTAACGCAGCTCTTCAAGCATTTTTTTATGCACTTCATAGATTGGTGGAAAATTACCAAAAATTATTTTTGCTTCTGTGCTATTTAATAATTCTCCACTGTTTTCTATAAGATCTTCTAAAGGTGATTTGAATAGCTAGAAAATAAATAAAAATAATATCCAACTATTAATTTTTTATGTATTATATACAAAATCTGTTTAATATTTGAATAATATATTAATTTATAATTATTGATTGTTTTATTTCAAGAAACATTTTTAAGAGCAAACTAAAATCTAACTAATATTTCGAATAAATATTAATTTTAAACAAAAAATTGTATAGAGAATAATTATCTTACAGTCATGATGGTACTGAGAATGCCAACATAATTTGACTCTGTCTGCACAAGCTCCAAGAAAACTTGATGCCGGGGAGAAAGGTTTTTTCTAGTAGATTCTGTATTTACAGCTTCTACCTCTGGAATATCTGTGATTTACCAATAATTCATTTTATTTTATGTCTTCCATCCTACATGGCTCAGATTATGGTCAATAGCAAATTAAAAACCAAACTTTCTTTTAATTTTTGTTTATATTCTATTATTGCTGTATGCAATAAATTTTATATTGCATTGTGCTTAAACTATATTATTGAATTATTAAATTACGATTAATCAAATGTGTATGCATTTAATCATTTCACGATAACTATTTTATATAATATATAAATTTTTAAAGACAAAATATAATTAACTATAGTTCTTTATAGACTAATTTTTTTACATTTTTTTATCATACGATAAAAAAGTTTTATAAATATCTAGAATTATGAACAAATTATAGATATAAATAAATTACTTTTAATTACATAGTAATAAGCAAAAAATTGATTTGAAATGATTAAATTATTTAATATTAATTTATGCGAGCACGTAAAACATTTCTTTCATTGAACCATAAAGGAAAGGAAGACAAACTATTTTATATGGCTATAGAAAAAGTTTTTTTAATTTTTTTTGTAAAGCAAATATAATTTCTTGAGTTAAAATTCAATTTGTAAACCTGAAAATTAAAATTAAATTCGTATTCTCACCATCTAACAATTGTTTATCTGGGCTTGCGGTGCAATCTAAAAAGCTACCACTGACGCTCAAGTGTCCAGCGTCACTTATACTCGATCGTCTCTTATGCAATGCCGGTGAATCTGCACCATTCTGTACTAAACTCGAGAGCGTCTCCGCCAGTCTTTTACGTTTTCGTCTTGTGGATGCCGTAGTCGGTGTGGCCGCTTGACTATCCCGCCGTGTTGAAGTAGATGGTGACATAACTGATTCCAAATACTAAACAAATATAAATATTATTTCTCTCTAGTTAAAAATATTTTCTTTAGACATAATTTAAAACTTATTTTGTGCAACTTACATCTTCAAACAAGTACTCTTTTTCATCAGCTGCAAATTCTTTTTGTACAGAAATCCAAAACCATTCAGCCTTAACTATATGTGCTCTTGCAGATGCTAAATCAGGTAACGCATTAACATTGGATTCATCCACAACCTGTGATTAATTATTATCTTTTTAATTTTAATCTATTTACGACGCTTAAATTAAATACAAAACAATCACTGAAGGATATAATTTTTTAATGAAAGAATGTAAGTATGAGAGGGAATAAGGATTTGAATATTGTAAAGAAGATAAATGAATGGTAACATTTTTATTCTATGAACCCATAACCCAAGAGACAACACTGTTCAATATTGAAATACAACGTAAGCTCAACGTTATTTCATTCTTGTAACTGTAAAAAATCAAGATTTTACATTTGCGTACACATTATAATAAAAACTAGTAATAATAATAATAATAATAATAATAATAATAATAATAATGAAGCAAAAAGAAAGAGAAAATATGATAAATCAAATATAATATTAATTTAATATCCGTTTAGCTCACATTTAAAACATAGACTATTCATTTGGAGATTCTACTACTATATGCTTTTTATTTCCAGAAAAAGTTAATAAATTCTTGAAATTAAACAAATTTTATAAAAACAAATTATATTGTTACTAAGTATGAACGACCAAAAATTACAAATATTTATGAATAAAGTATAATTTCAAATTCTCTATTAACGTTTTTAAAAAATAGTAAAGCAAATAAATTGAGCAATATTTCTCCAAATCCTCGAGTTCCGAAAAGTAGTATACCACTAAAAACGACTTCTGTGTCTGCTTAACATCCTTTTTGCAATTCGTTCCGCAAAATCGTTGCACATGCATATTTGATAGTGACCCGCATTGAGTCTGAGAGTAGTTGTGCTGTTCATGTGGCATTCTCATCACTCTGCACTCTGAACCCGAACTCAACCTGGCCATCTTTGCTGGTATTGGCAGAGGGCTTTGCAATGGTGTATACTTCTGTCGGGTAATGCTCTCATCTTCTTTGCGTCCATGCTGGCTCACTCTATAAGGTGTCACCGGCATATATTGTTTGAAGGTAGAAGGAAAAACGATCTCACTTATTTTTGAGAACAGTGCTGAACTTTGTTTCAAAGCCTTCGAGAAAGTTCTTGAGCTTTTACGCGTTTTTTTTTTGTCACTAGCAGTCGTATCAACAGTATCATTGGGAAATATTACACTGTATTGGTAGTCATGACGCTTGCTCTTATGTGAGCGAAGTTTAGGTTCGCTGCAATTATAAACTGAAACCTGCTTGGACATTGCACTATAGGAAGATGATTTCTTCCACTTGATATAGCGCCGTGGCATTGCCACTTTCTTGATGCTCGAAAATGTAACGAGTGAACAGGATCGGGAACTCATCGATGCACTAAAAATATTGCCAGACTTCTCATAATCTAATCCTAACTCATGTCTCATAATTTTTGTTCTATGTACTTTGTTCACATCTTCTTCGGAATCAACCTCCATTACACCTGGCTTATTCGATATATTATCCGAAAATTCTTTCAGACAGCCAGACTTATACGGTTGACATTTATTTCCTTCGTTCTCCTCATCTATTTTTCGGAATGACATTGTCACACACTTGTTAGAGGAACTCATTAAATTATTGGAGAAGTCCATACAGATTGCTGAGTCTTGGCTTGAGCTCGTCTTTTGAGACATCACTTTACTATTATGCCGATACTTATGCTTACTAATGCGGAATAAATGGGATGCAAATACTGATTTGGTGGGTGACGGAATGGTGATGGTATAAGGATTATAGTAGGCGAAGGAATATGGCAAAAGCTTATGAACATTAGCAAGAGTAAACTCGAAATGCAGAGTGTCATAAGGTAACTTAAAGTAGTGTAGCGATTTTTTCGCACTGTCAGTTATCCTATGACGACGTTTACCCAAATCTGTCACCTAAGAATGTGTCAAAGCAATTTCGCGATGGTAACATAAAAAGAAACAGAAAAATAAAAAAATAAAATAGATGCATTAAAATTTAAAAAAGAATGCGTATAAATAGCTTGAGAAATTATGATTTGAATGTACTTTCAAATATTTAAATTATGATCTTATTGTAATCTTAAAAATGTAATACAAATAAATTTAATGCTATTTTTAAATTATTTTATGAATCTTTATTCTTTTCAAAATGCAAATAACATATATTCCAATGTTATTTATATGTTTAAATACAAAATTTACAATTAGTACTTAACTTTTGAGAATCAATAGTTCATTAAAAATAGTAATGAAAAATAACAATATTATAATATTACTGATAGTATTATAAAATAAATATATACAATTAGTATAGTATTGAAGAATGAAAGAAATTTCCAAGTAGAATTCATTGAAAATAAAGTAAATCAAAGACTTCTTAACTCTGGTCTCATTCTTATATAATAACAAATAATAAAATGAAAACATAATTTATACTTACCACATGGGTACAATTTGGATCAACTATCTCAGTAGGTTCTCCTCCTTGCTGTTGTAACACTTCGCACATATGTCTCTTCTCATCTTCTGGAAAGCCAAAAAAACAAACACGGGCACCAACAAATGGTTTTAATTTGAAAGTAGCAATCTGCAATATAATTTAGTCACATCATAATCATTCTCATATAATAAATCAATAGACACAATTAATTTGACAGATAAGAACATAAATAATAATATCTTACCCACTCATCGTTATTTCTAATATTAGAAATATTATTCCTCATATCCCAAAGGGCAGTAACCCAATTCATAGACATAATAGGTACTCTAAATGTAACTGCGTATCTATATTTCTCACCACCACAACAATTTGCAATGAGATGCGTAACCTTTGAGCCCATTTCTTTTCTAATGCTGCCACCCATGAAATGAATCATATTGACAAGTTTTGTCTGTAAAAATATAAAATACAAATTATCCATTAAAAAAAAAAAAAAAAAAAAAAAATGAATTATCTATTAAAAATGATAGTGTATTCATCACATAACCAATCATAATCACAATTACTATAACCAATAAAATTATAAAATCTAAATAGCAATGAAAAGTACCAATAAATAAATTTTATAAATTTCAATTTCAGTATTAAATAACATAAGTACTAACATAAATACATAATAACAGAATTTTCTCGTACAATTAAATTACTTTTATGAGTCATAACATAATATAAACAGTTTCAAATAAAATATTCTCAAATTGAATGATGTATTTTTTTATTGGAAATTAAATATGAGAAATTAGATATGACTTTATAATTATTTACTTTCTTTTTTATTATTACAATATTACGTAGGTAAAATTATTCAAAATTATAAATATAAAATATTTTAAATATTAATTAAAAAATAGCAATAGTTTATACTTTTTTAAATAAAGAATTATTTTTGTCTGGCTAATAACATTTTAAATTTCTGAAATTTAATTTACTTATTTATAAATGAAATGTTATTTTTTACCAATTCATCCTTTTTTCTGAAGCCAGTAAATACAACCACTGTCCCTAACAAAGTTTGTGTATACATTGGTCGATTTATACTAGGTAACGATTCCTTCTTCTCTGCCAACTGCAACAAGGCTGTTGGCCCCAAAATCCTAATAAAAGTAATACATGAATATGTATATATATATATATATATATATATATATATATATATATATATATATATAAGTAGTAATTTAATCATTTAAATATCTTATTATTAGTATATAATAATTTTACCTGTGTGCACTTTTGTACAGTACATCATATTCAGTTCCTTCAAATTTTTTGAGTATAAAATAAGTGCAATAAGTTGTGTCTTCTAAGCATTCTATACCAGTCTCAGATTTAAGAACTGGAACACTGAACTGTTGAGCTGCAGCGCCCAGTGCAGGATCCTCGCCAGCTGCACCAACAAGGCATATCCTCTTTTTACGAGGTATAATTAAATCTAAAAACAATTATTGAAAAGTTTAAAAATTTAAACAATATTTATTTAGATTATTAAATATTGTTTGATATATAATAGTTTAAAATTGTTTTGTCTTTAAAAAATGATTAAAATATGATAAAACTTTGTAAAAAAGTCTTGAAAACATTATCAAAATATAGTTGATATTACCTTTAATAAATACTCTCAAGATAATTAACATTAAATCCCTACAAAGGGTAACTGATTTCAAAACAACGATTTCCAAATATTAGCATATGATTTCAATTTTATTAGAAATTCTAATGAATATTATTGTAACATAATTTAACGGTAATCTACAAACTTATTTGTTTACTACAAATGGCCTATTGAACATTTATCATGTAATTATATTCTAAACCATTGAAGCCATAGATAAACAAGTATTAGATAGATAAATCTATAGAATTTCGGAATGATTTCAAAGGTCATTGGGAATTTCAGCAAACAGTACGTGAAAGAATTAAATATCAATGATGTTATCTATGCCTTTTATATATTTAAAGACTCGCGAAGATAAATTCTTATGCCTGAAACTTATCAAAAAGACAGACTAACTAGTACGGATTGCAAATTGAATGATCAATAAATAAATACAAATTATATAAATGACATAATAGACGGTTTGATCAAAACATGTAATAATATTTTTAAAAAATATTTTAAAAATATTTATTCTAAATCTATTCCAAATGTATTGTAAATGTTTGTAAAAAAATATTTTCAAACTATTTTCCAAATTTTATCATTAAATATTAAATTTACTAATTTTATATAAAAATTGTCGATCAATATAGAAACTTGTAGCAAATTATTAATTTGTTTTTTTTGCATTTAAATATATATAAAAAATACTATAATATGTCCCATCGAATTGATTTATAAGATATTATTGTTACAGTCGTTTCAAACAAAAACGCAAAATTTCAATTATTACAACTGTCAATTTAAAAAAAAAATAACTAAATTACATATTTTTGTATTATTTTCATTATGCTCATTCATATATAATTTACGGCATGATAATTATAATAATTAATGATATATTTTTCTATTAAAAAAAAAAAAAAAAATAATACACTAATTTATTGTTGAGCAGTTCGTAATAAAATCACTGTTCAATAATACGCGAGCTATGAATAGAAGGTGATGGTCCTTTTCTTTATTATTCTTAATAACAAATATCCACTTTAAAAATTTTTGAAGCCGAATGGATGTAAAACAATTTCATGTTAAAATTTTTAATTCGATGTATGTTAATGAGTTTAATTGATGTTATTTTAATATATTATACTTTTCATATTTGTATTACAAATATTAACGATAAAATTGTTTTAAAAAGAATTATAATCCGCCGAATACTTCAGCTTTAAAATTCTAAACTTACAGCAATAAATTATATAAATTTACATTTTACGAATATGCATGTGTAAATATTATTTTTAACGAAACCAATTCACAGATCTTTAACGCTTCTTAAGTTTAGTTTGTTATAAGCAAAAAATTATTTTTGAAATATTTTCTTTCTTTGTTTTTTTTTATATCAACTAAATAGCAATTTAACTTTAATCACGCATAGAAATTAATTCTCGAATTTTATCTGCAATAATAAACTAGCAGACGCATGTCAACGTATGAAATTTGAAAATTAAACGGAGGTTTATATCTAGAATTTGTCCGTGTAGGTATCATACGGCAAGTATAAAACGATAAGGACATCTTAAGACATTCTCGCGTAACGACAGCTTGGCACTTACATTCAGTCTTGGCCTCCTCACTATTTATATCGCTGGTACTGCTGTGGACGCTCTGCTCTTCCATTTTGGCTGCGACGTCGTCGGAGATTTTTCCCTCTGCTCGAGAAGTCGGTGGCAACGAGCGAAGCAGGCGAGCAGCAGTACAGGCTCGTTGGGACGCGCCTAAGGCACACACCAGCCATATCTCGGATTAATAAACATGGGGAGTAATGCGATGCGAGATATTGCTCAAACCCAATTTCAAGTGCTCCGAATAATGTTAAGCTCTTACTGATTCTAACTCTAAGTTCGAAACAAACATAAGCACACGTACGCAAGCACGCAATCCATTTCTGTCCCTGTCTGTCTGCCTGTTTCTCTCTCTCTCTCTCTCTCTCTCTCTCTCTCTCTCTTCCCGTCTCTCTTGTCACCCTAAACCATGTATACATATATGCAGATATATAAGGTATAATCACAAAAATGCAAAAAGGGTAAAAGATTAACAGCGCCAAATTTTATATGATTTATCAGGTGCAAAAGAAACTGTAGACTACCAGATGATAAAACAGAGCCTTTCATTTTTTAAGTCTCTCTAAGCTTATATTGCTTACAGTATCACTAAATAATAATAATATAAGTAACAATAGCTTATAAATGAATATTCATTTTATATTTTTTGGTACTGCAACTTATTAATTCCTACTATTCCACACTATTCGAAATATTTGATAATTTAAAAAGATAATGTTTTATGTTAGTTATTATAATTATTATGAGCTTTATTTACACCAAAGTTTTATAGACACTTTTCAAATGCGTTCGCTAATTTAATGTTCAACTAATTAATGAAATATCAATTTCTAATCGTATTTATTACAGGAATAAGATTTGAAGTAAGTCAATATTTAAAATTGCCTTGCTTCACAAAGTAAATTTATATACTTTAAAAATTATTCGATTAATAGCCAAAATTAATGACATCCCTCAAAACTTTAAATGATCTTTCCTTTAATTCCTTTTATTATAAATTTTATGTATTTTTAAAATTAAATATACATAAATTAATTTCCTGTCAGAAAAATTAGAAGATATTAAAATGTAATTTATCCCATCAGATTCATCGAAATTAATTAAAAATATTTTAAATGGACTTCTAATAATGTTAAATCGTGTTTATCAACAAATCATAGTATACTTTCAATAGTAAAGTATAAATTTCCTATTTATCCATTGTTTTAACGAATCCTTTTACATTTAGTTTTAATAATCAACTATTTCTTAAAATAATTTAAAAGTATTTATAAAAGTATCGATTAATTAACTGTTTATACAATACATAATTAATCAATTACTAATTCAATTATATATCTTTTATTATATATTATAGCCAAGTATAACTTTAATGAAAATATTTATTATTTTGACATAATATAATATCGTTTATATTATTTAATTTTATATATTTAATATTTTTTATACTGTTTATTTAAAATCAAGAGTGCAAAATATCATCGATTGATCTCTGTTATGACGTAATATTGATGATACAATTACATGTGACGTCACCCAGTTTTTCTATAAATAAGGCTAATATATTCCAAAATTACTTGTAAAAATTTATTTACATAAAGATTTTTTACAAGCTAATAATAAAAGAACACTTGATTTCGTCTTACTTAATAATACTACTTTAAACTAATAAAAAATAAATCAAATATATTATTACAAACTGTATCCAATAGATATTTTCCATAAATTGACATAACTATTTTTACTCTTAAAACTTATAAAAACAATATATTTGTTAAATTAACAATTTTATGGATAAACAATCAAAATCATTAAATAATAATTCTTAAGATATCAACTACAAAATTTTTTGTATTAAATACATATAATGTATTTATTATATGTATTATAATATATTATATGGATATATAATAATATATTATCTTAATTAACAGTTTCAAATTATTATAGTAAAGTTTTTAAACTCACTGAAATATGAAACTCCAATTTGATAACCTTACATAAGTTTTTACAGATTTCACATAGTATTATACAATATCAATAATAATTAAATCAAATCCTAACAAACTTTGTTTAAAAGAGTTTAATTAAAAAATTAACAGGAATAAATTCGTTTTAATTCATATATTAAAAACTTTTGTGTTTCAGATTATTTTTTCTTCTACTTAAATTGAAAGATAATGAAAAATCTACCACAAACTATATACAAGTGTTTTGGAACTGTTCAGTTTTATGTAAATAAAATATTCTTATCATTTTTGCATTTATTCAACTTAATAAGCGTTCTTTGAAATGATCAAATTTAATATCTCAATTTTTCTGCATCATGAATAAATAATTAAACATTTAAATGAAATTTCGTATTCGAACACATTTCCATTTTATACTTTTGTGTACAAAATTTTTTAAATTAAAAAAATTAATATAGCCAATTTTTTTTCAATGTTTTAAACGAATATTTTAATATAATAATGTTCATATATATTGAATTAATTTTTAATATAATTAATATTCAAAAATATTAAATTAAATAAATTATAAAAAAATTTAGAAAAAGAATTATAAAAATATCTATAATATAAAAGATTTTAAACTATGATGACTTTAATATAAATTACAATTTTTCGTTTTATAGTGATTTATTTTACATTTTATTGTTTGAAAATAATTATTAGATTTTAAAAAGATTTTAACATAATTTTTAACTACGTATATGAAATTTATTCATTTTTAAAAGTTCAAATATTAAATAAAAGTTTATAAGTTTTTTAAAAATGATTTTACATTGTTTTTTTTACTCAGATAAAAATATGCTTTTAGAAATGAACATTTTCAAAATATTTTAAATGAATCTATGGGAATGTAAAAAGAAAATCTATTAAATTTGTAATAAATACAATTTGAATGAAAATTGATTATAAATATTCGGAAATATATATTTATAAATTTTATTGAAAAAATATAAATAAGAAATAAATAATTAAGAACTAAAAAAATTGCGTTTAAATCATGAAAATGATATATCTTGAAGTCAAGTGATATTTGATTTTTTAATAAAAGTCTTATTTTTTGTTTGCTAATATCGATAAAATTTGAATAACATTAATTTATTGCAGATAAGAATCAAAACTTATATTTATGTTACTTTCATTTAATTATTTCAAAAACTATAATTTAAAGTTTTTTTTAAATTACATAAAATCAAAGAAAATTTTTCAATAATATATTTTATAAAAATAACGTTATCAAAAATACGTCGTTACATTTTGATATATTAGCTATTAAAACGTCCTTTTAAATTTTATGAACATTAAAAATTTAAATACGACATTCTTTTTAATAATATATTAACATACAGAATGAAAACATTTTTTTTTAATGTTGATTCGATTAGATTCCAAGTATATTAGTAAAATGGTTTTTTTGAATATGAAAGTATATTTATGTTTTTCAATTTATCGAAATAGCATAAATTATAATTACTAATACTGTAGAGTTTGTAATATTGACAGATATGTAAATATGTAAATAAATATGCGTATAACACATATAATAATTATTTAATAATAAATTGTTTAATGATTCTGCGCTTATTATTTGAAATAAGCAAATTAAAATTTCCTGAAATTTGAATACTTTTAAAAATTGATATAAATTTAGTGAAATATAAAAAAAAAAAATGTAATCACTGTTAAGAGGTTACACAATTTTAAGGAAAACTCATACTTTTTATTGGCCAAGGACAAACGCTCAATGCGATTTTATCTGGTATTTGGTGATAATAGTTCTTAAGTAAATAAAATTTAAGAATATTACAATACATACGAAATTTTGTATAGAAATAAAGACAAATTTTAAATACTTATTTTTGAGGTTTTTTTCTATGAAACATTGCCTCATTATTTTACTTAATAATCATTCTCTTTACAAAATTATTTCAAGTTCACCTGTTTGCAATACGCAGCTAAAAAATCAAAATACGCGCCAACACCATCGTGTAACGTCCAACAGCATCATCTCTTGTATACAGTTAATACACGATTGTAATTTTGCATCCGATGGCTCATTGTAATCTGCTATCTGAAAAACCTGTTGGTTCTTTCGCACTCAAATCATTATCTCTCTCTCTCTCTCTGTCTCTCTCTCTCTCTCTCTCTTTCTATCTATCTCCCTATTTATCAATTATGCACTTTTTTCTTTATTTGCTATCTCTTTTTTTTCGCCCTCTTCTTTTTTCGCTTGCTCTATTGTTTCCAATTCTTTTAACGTAAACGAATAATATAATTAAGTATTTATTAAATATAAATAATTAAATATAATTAATATAATTAATAATCGATAAGAAAAAGAGTGGATTGTGGAAGAAAAAAAATAAAAAACGCAAAGAGCGAAGGCGCCGAACAAGTTGGTTACACAGAGGTTGTCAGACAGTCGACTATCTTCTTCTTTCTTTCCAACCTTCCCACCCTCTCCAACACTCACTCTCTCTCTCTCTCTCTCTCTCTCTCTCTCTCTCCCTCTCAGACAGAGGACGTACGTTATGAAAAGGTGCTCTCGTTGCAGAGTAGTCTCGGGGACGAGGAACGGCAACGTCGAAACCCTCAGCTACTCCGGTAGTCTCCACGCGCATAATCGGTCTCTAGACAAGGCGTCATCGAAGCTGCTGCTGCTGCTGCTGCTGCTGCACGTCCTCCACAAGCGCGTAATTCACCATATAGGACGCGTTGCTGCTCTTTGAATTAACGCGCACGCACCGCACGTTCACGCACTGGTACACGTTTCGCAGGCACTACTGCTCCTTTAACCAATGTAACTATTGCATTCAATAACGCGCCTTTCTTTTCTTTCCTTTTTGCGATGCGTTAAATGACATTTACGCCCAATCTACCACAGAAAGCACACTGCACAACGATCACTATTCGGTTGGAATCAGATTCGTTACCCACCACGCTCATACTACACTACCACTACCACCACTACTACCGTCACTACCACTACCGCTACCACCACCACCGCCACCACCTTTGCGAATGCAACACACATTACGTTTTCTATCTTCCGCTTCTCTCTTATTCATAGCATCTCTGTCACGTTTCATAGTTTCATTTCATTCCCTCTCGCTCTCTTTGAATAGCCTAGTATAGCTCATCGACACTTTAGTGAAGGCTGAGCGTGCGTTAGAAAAAGAAAAAGAGAGGAAAGAGCATCACTGTTGCGTTCTCAATTCTTAAATCTGTGACATGCATGATTTCTGAAGTGAGTCTTCTCATTTAAGTATTTGAAGAGATTATTTTATAAAAATTTAACTAGTTCAAACAGACGTTTATCAATAGTTTTTTTAAATTTTATTTACACACTATGCTGGTGTCTTTTTTTTGTTATTATTCTTATATAATGTTGATAATTTTTTTAACGGTGTTTTTAAACGAAAGTAACTAATTAATTGAAAAAAAAAACAAATGTTTCTGTTGATCTTACTTTGAATAGTTATTATTGGCCCTCTTTAAGGTATAAGTTTCAAATAATAAAGTATATTTACATCTAATTCAATTATTAATAGGTATTGTACACATGTACTGAGAATTCTATGATTATGCAAGTATTTATATTTATTTACGCAAATAAACGAGGAAACAAGTAAATCATTTTACCTTTCAAGATTTAATTTTTAAACAAAGTTCATTTTCATTGTAGATAATTCTAAACGAGTGTGTCATATAATACTCGAACTAAACAGCAAAAAAAAATGTTAAAAGTGTAAGTTCATAAGAAAAAGGTAATAAATGTTTGAATTAAAAATAATAATAAATTAAAAATAAGTAAATTATAAATAATAAAATTTTCATTCATTAATATTTTCATTAACATTTTTTGTTTTATATTATTTTTTTTTTAACTTAAAATACATTTTTTATAAAAAGATAATATATATTTATGATAATATTTAAGATATAAATATTATAAAAGATTTATTTATACATTTATACAACAGCATATCTTGATTTGAATACTCTTACTGTATTATCAGTTCCACCAGACACCAAAAATTTAGGATTCGACCAATTACAACATAGTACTTTATCCTCATGACCACTTAAATCAAATAATGGAGCTCTAGGACTAAAAATTAAATCTAAGATTAAATTTCTCTATAAAACTATTTTAACACTTTAATTTGTATATGATATACCTTCGAGCATCCCAAAGTTTTACATTATTATCATATGCACCAGACATAAATAGATGTTCTTCAGTTGTTGACCACCGAATTGATTGAACCCATTGTGTATGTGAAGTAAACATTGACTTAACTACAGCACCCTCTACAATTAAAAGAAAAAAAAAATCAGTTGATTTAATTCTTTCATATAGAATATAAATTTAATAGACTAAGGATTATAAACTTATATTTATAGGAAACTTATACAATTAACTAATATTTAAACTAAATTTAGAATTTAAGTTATACGTACATAATTTAAAATAATAAAAGCATTCTAAATAGAAAATATGCTTTTTCCTTTTGCACAAACCTGTAGATCGTGGATCATATAGTCGAATATGCTTATCTGCCGATGCTGTAATGAGTACTTTACTTAGTGGTGAATAATCTAGATCAAAAAAGCTCTTATTTCCTGTAAATTCATGTTTAACACCTCCTAATTCTGTATCCCAAATTTTTAAGGTATGATCCCATGATGATGTAATAATTTCCGTTTTATCAGACCACACTACACCACTAATGGCTTCTTTATGACCTTTCATAGTTCGTAATGGTACCTTATACGTTAAATTTCAATTTATTGAAAATAATTATTATTATTCTATTATCAGTTCATACTTTGAAGAAACTTACTCGTGTTTTACTACAGTCAGTCTTTTTTCTTTTAGAAGCAGATTCACCATTTTCACTATCATCTTGCAAAGCTAACATAATAAACTTGAATTTAATTAAACTCATAAATTCTGAGTGAAAATATAAAAGTGATAAATATAAACTTACAAGTTGACCAAATTTTTAGCATTGTATCCCAAGAACCAGTGGCCATTAAATTACTTAAAGAATTGACTCCAACTGCTTCAAGTCCACGTTCATGTCCTTTACATATGTGAACAGTTTCTACAGAATTACTTTCAACATTCCACTTCCATAATATTGCAGTTTGATCTTGAGATGCACTTCATAATATAAATATTGTTAAATAAATATAAATGTTCAATACATTAATTATTCTTGTCACTAACAAACCTAACAAAAACTCCAATGTCACCATCTAAAGATATCCATGCTACAGCTTTAATAGGTGATGAATGTCCAGGAATTGTTAAATGATGTTTACCTTTTGCTGTCCATAAATGAAGAGTATTATCATAACAGCCAGTCAATATCCTAAAATCAATTTTTTTTATTAAACAAATATATTAAAAATATATTATTTGTTTGTTATTATAAATACCATTTTTCACACATAGAGACTGCAGATACCCAATCATCATGTATAAGACAATCTTGTGGTTCTGGTGGAGGATGTTTTACAATATATTCAACATTGATTACTTCTTCTATTGAAATAGCTCTTTCGATAATATGTTCTATTAAAGAGGTACGAAGAAATTCTGAACATATAAGAAAATCAAATTCAATTTCTTCATTGCTGGTATCAGACTCTATAAAAAAAAATTTAAAAGTAAATATAATTCTTAATTTATTAATTATAATAATGTTTAACCTTTTAAAAGTTCATTTACAAGAACATTCAATTCTGAAATAATTATGGATGTAGGCACTGATAAAGGATAATCTGGTACAGCATATCTATAAATTTAATGACAATAAAAATATATGATAAAAATCAACGTTAATAATACCAATTAATAAAGTTATTATTTTTTTGTAAAAATATATAATTTTTAATTCTTAATTAGAAAAATTAATGAATAATATATTTTGATTCAAAATATGAAAATGCAATCTAAATTCAAGTTAATATGTTAAAAAAAATTTAATTAATCATTTTGAATTTTATATAATAATTTTACATAATAATTTTATATTACTTATTTAAATTTATATAAATTTTAATTGTAATTTTGTAACTAACCCAACTTAGAAAAAATACAGTGTTTTAAGAACTTACTGTTGCTGTTTTGTTACAAATCTAATTTGTATTTGCGGTGTATCACTAACTGCAATTTTACTATTAGCCATCACAGTTAATAAAGAAATTTATAAATAATATTAAAATTTTACAGATACACATTAAATAAATGTAATTCTACAAATTAACTATTTGCATACACCGACGATCGAATACGCATACACGAGGTTGTGGTTTCAATTCCAAAATCCTCTAGCTTAATTTAAAATTTATAATAAAATGTGACGTAAAGTGCAGTAAGAATCTGAATTTCTCCAATTTGATCACAATATAAATGCGCGAGATTTCAAATCTATTCCGTTATAAGCATATAATTATTCTGCACTAAAATAGCAAAAATTAATGTCGATCAATACTCTGAAATAAAAAATTAAATAAGTTTATATAAAAAAAAATTAAAACATTAAACATTGAATTATAAATAATATATAATTATCTGCAATTTCATTATTTAGACAATAATTATCATTGTTAGATTTTTCCAAATGTCTGAGCTGCTGGATATGTATCGAATTATCAATGCAATGCAATCATTTATTCATTCGAGAAGATGCATTAACCTCCGAGTCCTGTCAATTATAAAAGGATTGACTAGTAATCTTAATTAAAAACCAGAAGCGAAGATTAATATGTCAAGCAACTTACGAGCTACTACACTTCATGGAACTTCGATCTCTATCACTTACTCGGACAGAACTTACCCAAATAATATATGGCTTATTATTCCATTCTGAAACCTCATTATTTCTCTATTTTTGTTCGCCTATGATTATTCTATTCTACTAAATCATAAATTCTATAATATTTCAATATTAGCGCTATATTAAAAAAAAAAATTAAACAATTGATCGGTATCATAACACTAATATTGCAGTGTCTAATTTCCCAGTTCAACAATACAAAAGCTTTGATAATTTGCATTTTTAAATATAAATAAAAGTAAAATACATTTTTATAAAGACAAAATCGATTTTTATTAATTATTTGAGCAAATGGTGAGATAGTTTTAGTAATAAATACTGAGCTCCATAATGCTGTTACAAAAAGTATTAATTAATAATTTTTTACAATTGTCATAGCAAGCGGGTATATCAGTCATTATACAAGTTTTCTAAGCCGTAGAAACAGGTTCATGTATACTCGCTATTATACATTCTCATATATAGTGTCTATTTTTTCTGACATATAATATTGAATAATATTTTTAATATAATATAAATAACTATCATATTGCGTATAACTTCTCTATCTGTATTCTTATCGAATACTGTTCCTCTACGCATTTAAAATATCCTAATTACGATAGCCAATCATCATAATGCTTTTCGGCACGGAATCGAGATACGAAATAGAATAAAAGCATAAAATAGTTGTGCTGTTCCTTTACGGAATAATTCTATGTTGGAATGAGTATATGATTGCTTACTGTCTATTTTGATCTAAGCACACGTGGTTAGATTTATTTTGATTGTTTACTGTTAAAAATTTTTTAGGTTATCCTAATTACAATTGGTTAAATTTCTGTATAAAGCTATATTTTATATTAGTTTGTATTTATTAAATAGCGTGAAAAGAGAAAAGATGCAGCTCAAAAGTAAACCTAAAACTAATAATAAAATATCTTCGAATAAAGTCGATGATTTAATTTTAAAAAGAAAAGGTGGTGGAAGTATTATAGATCATCACCCTTTATTCTCAAACGATGGAGAGTAAGTTTACATTTATATTCTTAATTTTATTTTTTCATAAACTCATTTTTTCATAAACATTTATTTTAGGACGCTATATGTTGTATGGAAACAATTTATTAGAGCTTATAGTACACAGACTGGTGATTTTGTCAAAGAATTAGAGCCCGCTAGTAATAAAATAATTGGTATTGTATTATCACCTGATAGTTTTGATACTATTATTGGTTGTACAGATAACGCAGAGCTTGTTTATTGGAACTGTCACAATAGTCTCATTACTATAAAAACAGTAATTACAATTATACAATTAATAATATTATTCATTTCTATTAACATGATTGATAATTTATTCACAGTAATGTATATTTATATATAATTTAATTTTTAGAAACTTTTGATACCTGATAATACTAATATTAAAATAAAAACATTTCATCTTATTCATTATACTACGTTCAAGGGTAAAATTCTATGTAATGCGGTTGTTAGTTCTCTTATTAAAAAGAATGAAGAGATGATTTTGCGTGTTGAACTATTTGATTTAAAATTAGGAAATAAAAATTTAAGTAAAGATATTGAGTAAGTAAATGCATTTAATATTATACATAAAAAATTTTTATTTGAATATAAATGTGAAGAAAGAGAATAAAATTTGTATAAATAATATTTTAGAAACTTTAGGGAAGATTATTGTATTGATATTATTGGAAACTATGGAGAAAATTTAATAGCAATTGCTCAAAATTCATTTTTGTACTTAATGAGTCCAATGCACAAATTAAAAGTTATTAGGTGACTTATTTGTAATATTAATAAAATCTATTTTATATACTACATATGTATGTATACGTATGTACATTTATAATTTGTTTAATTAATAGGCATAAAACTGGAAGAAACATTACATGTATCGCTGGGCATCCAGAAGAAGAATGTGTTGCAACAGGAGATACAAGTGGTCGTGTTTTAGTTTGGAGAAATATTTCACAACTTAATCCAAATAGAGCAACATATCACTGGCATACACTGCCTGTTGCACAAATTGTTTTTAGTAAATCTGGTAATATGTTCTATTTCAGATGATCAACTATTATCTTTTAATAAATAATTAATTTCATTATTAAATATTCAGGTGGTTATATGTATTCTGGTGGTGGTGAATGTGTTCTTGTAAAATGGTTATTATCCAACCCACAAAATAAGTCGTTTTTACCTCGTTTGCCTGCTCCAATTAGATATCTCACGATTGCATCAGAAAATATTTATGTAGCAGTATCTACATTAGATAATGGTATACATTTAATAATTAATTTTTTAATATTTTAATTTAATTATTTGTATACAATCTTACTTATTTTGTATGTAGGTATTATTATTGTTAATCCTCAAAGAAAGATAACAGCAGTAATTCAAAATTTTACTTGGGGTGTTGCAAGTACTCCAAAAAGTTTATTTCCAGCCGGACTTATTATAGATCCACGAACAAATAGTGTTGTTTTAAATAGTCGAACTGGTCATGTGCAATTTTATAATACTCATACAAAAAGTTTATTATTCAATGTAAGTAACATAGTTTAGAAATATAAAAATATTAAAATTAGAATAAGGTATGAAAATGTGAATAATATTGTATTTTAATTAAATTGTTTATGGGACTAATTGAAGCTTTCAATTATCGTATATAAAATATAACACTATTTTGGGAAATAAGATATAAGCAATTACTGAGCAAAATGTTATTAATAACTTAACAAATTTAATTTTTCTAAAATTTTTGGAACATTAAATAAATAACAAAATATACTTTAAAAGATTATTTTCCACTGATATTAATTAAACTACAGATATTTTTTATAATTTTATTAATATATCGTATAATATTAATTGTAGTTAAACGTAACTGCACAAAATTTATTAACACAAGAAAGAAGTGTAATAATTGTAAATACTGAAGTGACAAGAATAGCAATTAATTCTGAAGGTACTTGGATGGCAACAATGGAAGAACGAGATGACAATATATCAAGTACAGAAGTAAGACTTAAATTTTGGCAATTCAATATGGAAAAACAAAAGTAATATATATATATATATATATATTTTTTTTTTTATACATTTTGTAAATATATATTAATTAATTTTTATTTGCAGTTTTGTTTTGAATACATCAATTGAACTTCCTCATGAATTTGGAGTAAGTGCAGTTAAATTTAGACCAAAATCATCCCTTGGTGATAACGAACAATTTGTTATTACCGTAGGAAAAGATAATAAATTCAAACTTTGGCATTTTAATGATTCTTCTACAAATGGTTATTATTTTTATATTTAATAAAATTTCATTGAAGTTTCACAATTTCTAATGATTATTTCATTTTAGGTAACATCGAACATTGGCGCTGCTATAGTGTTGGATTTTATCGAAATTTACCAGCAATAGATGCTGGTTTTTCTGTCGATGGTTCACTTATAGGGGTCGGATTTGGATCAAGTTTAACACTTTGGATTCCAGAAACTAGTATATTAAAAAATAGTTTAAGTCATAGTCGATATTTACAACCAATAACGTAATTAATTAATTTTTACAATAAATGTGTTAACATCTGTGTGTACTTGCATTTCAATAATAATTATTAAAAATTTAATATTTATAATTCTTTTTATTAGTCGTGTAGAATTTAGTAAACAAGAATATTGTCATCTTGTGGTAACAGCTTCTACAGAGCATTTGGCAATTTGGGATCTTTTGTCCTTAACTGTCAAATGGAGTGTTCTTCTTAATTTAACAACATTAGCTGCCGATCCTCTTTCGATTTACATGGCTGCATTTACTACGGATAATACACGTAATATTTTTAATTAAATTAACACGTTTCTTTTTGTCTATTGTTGAAAAAATTGAATTAAATAAAAAATTTTATTTTAGTTTTTATTTTTACACCTGGAAATTCAGAGCCTGAATATGTCAGAAAGCATGTTATTGAAAAAGATGTTTCTGTACTTGGTGCTTGTTTTATTCCAAATATTCAAAATAACAAAGAAAACACAGTGCAGTGGCAAGAAAAATCTCAATTTTTATTTTTAAATTCAGAACAGGTTTCGTCAAATTACTATCAACTTCAACTGCATTCAAATTTATTAAAATAATAATTATTAATTATATTTTTAGGAATTATTGACTTTAGAATCGAAGTCGGAATCGAGTATAGCACTGGAAAATTTATCTGTAAGCCAAAACGTAAACTTGACATCTTATAATCGTATAGTTGCTTCAGAAAGAATATCAAATATTGAAAAGCCAGAATTATTTATGCATGATTATATGAGGATAACCAATAAAGGAGTTGTAGAAGAGGTAAGTTATTTATACTAATATTATCAAATAAATTAATACACAATTTTATTTCTGAAATTTATCAGAGATCATATTAATATAATTTATTCTAAGTGCTTATTTAATTACAACAATTTATGTATAAAAAAATTATGAAAATTATGGAACAAATATATATAATTAAATTTGAAGTATTTTCATTTATATTATGTGTATTGGAATGACTAAAAACATTCCTGAAAATAATTGATTAATGAAAATTTCTACCTTCTACCATGGTCAACTATTTTGTTTTGTTCTTATATATATATATATATATATATATATATATATACATTTATCAATATGAAATGTAAAATATATCTGTTTATTTGATAAATTGATAGATGGAAATAGTAGCAAAGAAGAAATCATGTAATACATTTATTTGCATTTAGATAAACTAATAATATTAGAAAACTAAAGATCTATGCTCAGTGTTTTGTTTTATTTTATTTACAAGATGCAGTTTAAAATATTATGAAAGATAATTAATTCGATCTGTTAAAATAAAATAAATTAAATTTCAAACAAAATCTACCAATTCTTCATGTTAAAAATGTTAAAGTATCCATCGAAAGACGCAGTATATTATTAATTTGCATTAATGCTATTATAACAAATTTAATATTTTAAATTTGATAATAATTAATGTATTATGTTTTAATATTTTGTTAATTGGAATTGATGTTACATAAATATATGATAAAATGTGGTACATAGTACAAATACAAATTTGATTTCATACGTTATTTTCTAAGTAAATTTATTCAACATTTAACTTATTATTATATTATTGTCATTTCATTGTACGTATGATTACATCCAAATAGACAAAGAATAAAAATGATAACAAAGATTTCCTCAAGGAAGTATTATGATTGTGTTTGAATTAAATTATTCTAATCATGACATCGATCAATTTTATGGGGTATCTTTTTATAATGAAAATAAATACATTAGTACAGAATTATCTATACAGTGTAGTTTCAATTGTGTTGATCCGAAAATATGATAGCCATGATGTATGAAAAGACTTTGAAGAAGATAGGCTGAGGCAGTCTTAAGTTAAACGTCTCGGCGGATGTTGCTCGGTGCAGTAGGTGTGACGGTTAAATGGATACTTCGACAAAGGTCTCTAGAGTACTTTAAACTATTAGTGCTTGCGACCAATACGATAATTTCGACAACGACGCACTAGGTCAAACTTTCGATAGCGTAGACAGTGCCACTGGGGTATTTGTCTCATATTCTCTATAGCCTAAAATAAAAAGAATTAATTTAAATTATTTATTATTAATTAATTATAAATTAATTTTTATTACTAGCATATGAACTGTTTGTAAACACTTAGTGATAGGTTTATCAATAAATATATATGGATTTGCTATAATGCTATTCTGACAAAGTGAAGAAGCCCGGATAATTTACACACGCGAGTGGAATTATTTCTCTTATATATAATAATTATATTTTTATTTTATTACAATATATATAATAACTTAAATAATTGCACATAAAATAGATGAAAAAATACAAATAGTGAAAAATTAGAGTCAATTGTGTATACAAGAAGGACCACAAGAAAAATCGCGGAAAATATTAAGTTTATAATTCAGTGTATAAGTGCTATTTGTGCTTATTTAATGTATTCAATTATTATGTATAATTTTTGCAAATATTTTTACAAATACATCAAAACAATGTTTATATATATATACATATATGTACTTGTTATAATTTGTGAGTGCATAATTTATGGTCAACAATAGTTACTTAAGAACATTTTGTTGAAAACAAAATTTGTTAGTCAGATATATTTAATTTTTCTAATATTTAGTCTTGTTTTAAATATAAATCAAAATTTATTTTTAATAATAATCATTGAATTTTATTAATAATAATAAATTTCAATTTATTATTAAATTTTTATTAGATAGAAATTGTTATTCAGAATGAATATTATTCAAAAGTAGTTATATTAAAAATACGTATGAATATAAAAGAATGAGTTAACATAAATTATTATATAAAATATTATAAAATGTATGTTCATATATTTTACATCGTAAGTAATATTCTTATAATCGAGAACATCAAATTTATCATTTTAAATTTGTTTGTAATTATAAGATCAATGTTTGTATCTGGTAAAATAGCATTTATTGCTCAATGAAAAAGAAATTACCAATTTCAATAATAATTTTAATTAATATTGAATTATAAATATAGAGTAAATATATGTTTTATAATTTGACATTTTTTAATTGACTATACGATTAGCAAATATATATAAATTTAAAAGTTGACTTTAGATTAACAGGTTGAGTACCATAATTTTCACAATATTTCGATTTTATAAATTAATAAAGAAAAAAAAAACATACTGCTTAATATTTTAATAATTAAAAGACATAAAAATGTTTTTCATTACATAAGCAATAAAACGATGGTGAATGGGGCCTACTCGGTTAAGAGTTCGTTACACTCTGAGCCGGACGTATTGCAATTAGTGGCTTTCTGTATTTTATAAGTTGCAACTACTGAATGTCGGCCTCGTAAAGCTTGGAAATTTGACTTCCTCCAGTCGAAGTATAAATTATAAACTTCTATGGAACATATATGCAAATGAAAATATGTACGTGTAATTGCAACAGATTTCTTTCAAGCTTCGTCATATAGGTGTCATTTTCCAATCATATATAGTAGAATCTAGTTAAAAGAAAGTTCAACCAATATATCATAGGGGACTATCTATTTTCAATTGACAAAAACAAATTTTTGTACACATTTTCTCATAAAACTATATCGTTAAATGTTGACAATTCAAGAAATTTGCAGCTTAAATTAATAGAATGTTTTGTTTGTAAAATTATTCAAAATAAATAAACATATTATTTTAAATATTATAGACATTATTTTATATATTTTTGTATTCTCGATAAAAGAATACATAAGAAATTGAAAAAATATTGTAATATAACTAGTAAATTATAATATTAAAGCAAAAATGTATGTAATGACAATTTTATATTATATAATTTTTATATAAACTATTAATACTTGAAATAATGGATTTTAATTATATTTTATAAATTAAGTAATTTTCTTGCAGTCTCGGTTCTAAATTTTTGAAACAGTAGAAACAAACTTACACAATGTATTAAATTTTTTGGTAATAAGATTTTGTTTCTGTTATCCTTTCTTGGTTGGATTTTCAAACTTTGGCACGGTTTTTTACAAATTATCTTATTTATTGATGAAAGAAAAAGAATTTGCACTTATTTATATTTAAATTAAATTTAAAATATTAGTAATGTATTTAAATTTATAATATTAAGAAAATTAATTCCGTTATTTTTATAATAAAGAGTTTCAATTTTTATGAATAAAGTTTGATTATTATAAATTATTACTTTAAAATGCTTATGTTACCGTGCGTGAGATGGTGTATGGTGTTTCTTAAGGATTCATTTATTTGTGTTTTGGAGTTGAAATATTTCATTAAGGTTTAATTGATCTTTTCTTATTATATTTTTTCATAGAAACATAACTTAACTTCGAATAAACTCGAACTTACAAATAGACGAGACGTATTGCATTGTCTATTGCTATGATAATGGTACAAAACGAATGACCTACTTTTTGAATGACCAAGGGAGGGGGAAGGGACAAAATGAGAAAGAAGTATAAGAATTTATTGCACAGCACTAACTTTGACAAATTTTTCGTGAAGCCACAATCCTTGGATGTCAATCGAAAAGTCCTCGGTATGCAACTAATCAATTTTATATCGTTTGAAGGTCGATGGCCTCTTTCAATTTTAATACTCTTTATCACAGTTTGGTATATAAGCTTACGTAGTACGAATTAAATATATCATACGATAAATATTGTATAACTTTTTTTAATATATAATGAAAGTTTTAAAATCAAATTATTAATTGTTTTTTTTTTAATAATAATTTTCTTTTTATATGTTTAAGGTCGCACAACTTAATGTAATCGTATATTTTTATATTGACTTCCTAGTAATTATTATTTTTGTACCCTACTATTGGTATAATTAATTTTTAATTTTGTTTTATAGAAACATGTTTTGAAATATTGCTTATATATACACATCTCCGGTTTCATAATAGACGCATCAGTTTTATTCTTTTTATACTTTTATAGAAAAATCCATTTTTCAATACGTAGCTATTCCTGCTCATATATAATGAATCGTCAAGTTCATAAAATTTCTATAATTCAGGTAAACTAATGGAAATAGTACAAGCATTAAAATTCTACATTTGAGCATAATCTTTTACTCACTGTTTCTGAATCACCTGCTGGACGAGCCGCAGAAGCAGTGATAAACAATATTAGGTAGAATATAATTAGTAGTCCAAAATTGTATAGCTTTATTTCCTTCATTATTAATTGAGAAGTAATAAACACTTGCTTTAGATTTTTATTTATTAAATAATAGTTAACGTAAATTGTAATTAGCTCTCCCGTTTGTATACAGTTGTTCACTTACTTTTTTAATACAAAAATCTCTTTATTCTGTTTATTATATAATATTAAAGATTTTAAACTAGCACGTAAAAGACAGCAGAATTCGTGCGAAAGTTAACACTACTCGAGTATTCACCGGCGAACTGAGTTTGAATGCTCACGCCATGATCTAATGTTAAATGTATCAAGTATCCTCCCACCCTTGCCAATCTGTAAAATGCAATATTATCTTCTTTCAAATCGCTTGGACAATATATCACTTAACTTTTGTCAATGATTGCGTATTGTTGACAATTCACTAATACTAGCAATTTCAAAGAGAAAATTTTTTTATTTTTTCTCGATAATATTTTTTCACCACTCAATAATAATTAATAAATATTTTAATATTAACCTACTTGGCATACTGAAATAAATATCGTTTATATTTATTTTTATTATTTTTACCAAAATAAGCAATGATCATTTAATAATATTTTTTTTAAACTGATAATGATATGTTTTAGATTTTATTTGAAAAAAGGTTATTTATCATTTATATTTAAAATAAACTAAAAAAAGTATTGGCACAAGTATATAATATAGAAGAAATTTTAATATATTTTAAAAAAAATAAAAAATTTGAATTTTTGAAATATTATGATTTGTTGAATTAAAATGTTGAATTAAACTTATATTTTTAATAAAATGAATAAGTATATAAATTTTAACAATAATGATAAAATTGTAAAACAAAATTTCTATAATTTTCATTTATTTGATTTCACTAAATACTTTTTGAATTCGTTTAAATAACGTGTTATACGTTATTGAATTTTTTATCTTCTAATTTTTAATTGACGAATGAATAAACATAAATTAGACCAATAATATAGTTTTCTAATTACATTGTATCCAAATATAATCCAAATTTACAATATTAACAATATTAATCATTATAAATTTCGATATATAAATAGATTTGCATTATAATTATTAAGGATTATGAGAAAACATTAAAAACTACATTTTAATTAATAATTATTATTCGATTTTTATTGTTTGCAAATAATTTTATACATATATATATATATATATTAATAGTATGAAATTATTTATTAAATTATTTATAAGATACTGTAGATACTAGGCAAATAAATTCTTATATTTGTTAAAATTTTAATATTTAGAGATATTAAAATTTAGAATCTTTGAGGACTTTTAAAAATCGTTTAAATAATTACGTATCTATATATAATTATTAATTTTTTTATTTATGTAGGTTGTAAATATAGGATTAAAAATAATATTTTATATTTTCGGGTTTTACTTTTTTATTTTTATATGCAATACAATTTCAATATATATTTTATGAATACCTCAAACTTCAGAGATAGTTAGTATTGGCAACGTATACAAAAAATTAATTCAAATATAAATAATAATCTTTAAAAAAATTTTATATATCTTGAAGAAAATGCATTATCCTTGAAAATAATTATTATTACACTTGATCTAATGAATTAAAACTAGGTCATGTAGTATTACTTCTTCCAGTTGTGATTTTATTCACTTATACAAAGATTTAAAATTTCCATGCATTTTGTATTGCCAAGGGTATTGGTAACCCAGTTAGATATATGCGGTTGGTCGACAATGTAAAGGAACATGCACATACGTAGCTTAAGTAATCGGCAAAGGAGGACGACGAGTATATAAAAGTTAGACAAAAAGCATTTATTTAGAAGCGTGAACAACTGCTTCGACTATCGCCTAAATAGAGACAACAAAATAATGCAATATTAATCTTTTTAAATAGATAAAATAAAAGTTATGAGCTGGTTTTTGGACACGTGATTGTTGATTTTTGAAAGCGATAAGAAACAAACAGTAGATTATTATATGAATGTCAAATATCATATATACTTTAAACATAATAATCTAGATAACTATGAGTACATAAAATTAGTATTTCGATGCAACGTGTAATACAATAGATAGTACCCCCCCCCCCCCCCCCCCCTTCTAGATTTGTTGGAATTCCTAAATATGTCGAACATTGTGACTCATAACAAGCTTTGCCATTTTTGACATAAAAATAACAGTATGCTAGATAGATAATATTATTACTAAAATTAATAAATAGCTACTCGAGTTATATCGATTTATATATTTTTTATTTATTAATTATCCTTTTAATATCCTTTAGCTATTAGCAGTGCCAGCTCATACACTACCACCAATGAGAATGCTTTGTATACCTTTTATCGTTTCACTCATGGGAAAATCATCGAAGGATTGTACAACTGAAAAATATTTTAGGTAATTTTTATTATTTATTATATTATGTTTATTATCCATTTCTATATGGTTATTTTTCTGCATATGAATAGGAAGTTCAAATTAATTATTAATATACAGAAAATTCAAATGATTATACTAAATATATGTACCTTAAATTATTTGATATATTTAATAAAATGATAAAAGTTATTAAAAATAAAGTTATTATAATAAATATAATAATGTAATATTTTTATAATGTTTTTAATCATGTTTGAATATGATTATGTTTAATCATCAATATTATCAAATTACAATTTCAAGAAAAAAAAATATCTTTGATAATCATATTTAATTTAAACTATTTCATATTTTTTTAATGCAATTCAATCATGTTACTCTTATTTTTTTTTATAGAACTAATGTTAATATCAATGGTCAGGATTCAGACAATGAAGATGATAATGAAAAACTAGAGATAATTATTAATCAAAAAGAAAAAACGCCAGATTGTTTGAAAGGGACAGGAGAAGAATCACAAAAATTGATAAATTTTGATTGGAAATTTTTATCAACTGTATTACCAAGCAATGATTGTACAAATTAATTTATTTTATCAGATTGTTAATTGACAAGTCAAAAATTAAATATGGCTTCATTTTACTTTGTGAATATTTGTTAAAAACTATAAAGTATTTTATATTAAATTAATTCAAATATTTACACAAATATTGTGCATATATTTGAAAAATACAATTTTATTCATTTAATGTAGAACAACGACTATGTATTTAAACATACTTATATATTTTATAAAAATTAAAAATTCATTTGTAAAATATCTTAATAAATATAAATATTTAATTTTCTAGTAAGTTTGAATAAATAATAAATATATTTTACTTTATTTTTATCTTTACAGGGTACTGTTAAACCATATTATTTAAATGTCCAATCGACAATATTATTGTTTTTACATTCGTCTTTGACTCAATAGATCTTTAATGTTTTAATAGGTTAAGTGTTATAATTTATAAAGAATGTGTCGTGTCGTGTCGTGTGTGTGTGTGTGTGTGTGTGTAAACGTTTGAAATATATATAGCTGTACATTATTATTTGAATATAAATAATGCTGATAATAATAGATAAAACAAAGTTTAAGCAGTGTCACGTATATATATATATATATATATATCTATGTATTATATAACTAGAATTTTAAACAATATATATCTACACGGGACATTTTTTAACGCGCGTTAACATTAAACTGGTTAATTAAAAAAAATTAAAATAACAAGAAATGAACAATGAATTTTAATATTTATAATTAAATTTTAAAACAATAAAATATTGATTTGAACTATGTAACGAAGTATGAATTTAACAGATAGGTATAATGAATAATTAATAATGTTCTATGAATATATAAATCTGTAACTTTCATTTTATAATAGTTATACAAGAATTTATATAAGATTTATATTACAATTTTTCTAATTGCTTCCACTATTTGTAATATTTTAATATTAAATAAACTATATTTATACTTCTAATATGCTAAAAACTATTAGTCTTAATATTATAGTATAGTTTTATATGTCACATATAAGTTGTAACCGCAGTTTTTATATGAATTTTCACAAAAAATATACAACATTAAATAACAAAAGATTGAGAACAGACTATAATAAGTAATTCCCTACGATTTTCATTTATCTTTTATTAGTAAATATACATAACATATAGTAATTAGTATAACATGTAATATTTTAGAAATTATAAAAAAGTATAAATTTCTTCTTATAATAAGTTATGTAACGAATTAATTTTTATTCGGTAATTTTAAATATAAGAATTAATGATTTGATAATAAGTTAAAAAATAAATATATACCTACATTAATTTCATATTAAAAAAGATATTCAAGTTTTCTTATTACAAAATATTATAGAAAGTGGATCTTCTAAATAATTATCATTTAAACAAATAAATATAATTTACAATGTTTTAATATGCATGCTAGATATTTAATATTATACACGTAACATGGAAATACTATTTTAATCGTAATATTTATACCAGATTAAATTATGTAATGAAAAGTGCATATACCATTCAACATATTTGTATTTGTAATTAATAAATCCTAAAAAACCAGTTACTATTTTTTAGATTTATAAATAAGAGCATTTTTATATAATGCAAATAAAATTCAAAGAAGATTAAATTAAATACTTGGTTTAATAATTCAATTACTAAATTTGTATCAAAATTAAATAATTCATAATTAAATATTATCATGTATATATTATTTACATACAAGTAAAAAAGTGAAGTTCTCAAATAAACAAATACATTAATATTCTAATTATAAATAATGTATAAATATGTATGCATATATACGTTGGAAAAGAATTAAAAATATTTTTAAAATATTTAAATTCGTATTACATAGAGTTATGATAAAGCTTCAGATGTTTAATCGTATAATTACATATACACATTATAAATTAATTAATCAGATATTAATGATTGCTTAAAACAGATACGTTTATTTTGTCTATTTTTTCTAAGGTATACTTTAATATGGGTTTTTATTTTACATATGTTAAATTAAATATTTGTTTTATTATAAATTTTTGTTTATTTTTTTACGCTTCATTCATAAAATATCTAATAAATCGAATTAATCGTACGAAAATATTTTAATTTTATCATCTATATTAGCTCAATTACTTTATTTATAGCAATTATACAATTACTTCAAATAAAAGAATAGAAAATAAGATTAAAAAATGTTTATACATGTCATATTTATCAAAATTCCAAAATGTATACTTCGTACATACTTAATATGAAAATTAATGTTTATTCTTTTCTATTAAGTGCAATTAATTTATGTAAATTCTAATTTTTCCTAAATCTATACTTTGAATGACTGGTATTATTGTGGATTTTAAATATCTCGATTGAATATGAATGTGACAAATAGATCTCGTATAAAAATTTTTCCTCATAATATATCCATATACAAGTATTTCCTTTATTGTATTTAATTTAAATTCTTTCCTTTATTCTACTTATAGCTAATTATTTTCATTATTTTATTTAGTTGCGCTTACTACACTATTAAGAATGTTTGGAATGATGAAGTTATACGAAGGGCAATTACGGAGATTCCATAGTTGCTATACCTTCTGTGTTACATTTTTGAAATTTTTGTATGTGATAAGAAAGTACCATAATTAAAACCTGGATAGAACTAGCAGTTATAACCTGAATAGATTCATTATTAAAATTTATAATAATTATCTATAATAATTAGATAATGATTGTAATAATTTTACTCACCCTATTTCATTAATAAAATCAAGTACTCTGAATGCATGCATAATTCATAAAATAATTTAAAATTTATTTATAAACAAAACAAATAATCTATAAAATACAAAAATTCATGTTTATTAAAAAAAAATCAAATTTTAATAATTTTGTTTTCTTAGAAAAATTTAACTTTATTTTTTAATTATAGTTTTTTTTCTAATTCTGATTCAAGTTTCAGATGATTTATGCTTTTCACAATTCTCTGCAAACTCTAGTACAATCTCAGTGATTCTACTAGAGTAATCTTCATCTTTATCCATTAACTCTAGTATATAATCATTATTACGTCGAAATATTAAAGTTTTATAAAGTACTTCAGGATGATCTTTGTATTCTGCGAAAACTTCCTTATTTAATAAAACGATTGGAAAATATATAATGGCAGTTAACTGTGCAACCGATTTCACGTCATTGTCATATTCCTTCATAAGGTCTTCTAAGTTGGGCCTTTTTAGCGTGGGATTACACTTTCTTAAAGTTTCGCAAAGTTCATCCCAATAAGCCTCGATCACATCCCTTTCTTCACATCTTCTTATTTCCTGAGTAGTACTCAAATAAACGAGCTGAATAACATCAATCATACGTGGTGCATAACGTACCATTTGATAATCAACTAGAAGACATTTTGGTACTTCGCTAGAATCCAGCATAAGATTATTAGGCCAAGCATCGCCATGGCATAAAACTCGACACTTATCTTGACCACCGGTAATCATATATTTATATACTCGTTCCATATGCTCACGCACACCTGAGGTGGTACGTTTATTTCTCTTCGCTATGTCCTTAATGAGCGACTCTAAAAGATCCAGTGTAAGTTCCATAATCTGTTCAATGAATATTTGTTCAACGCAAACTTTTGGATATACCTCGTTCAAAGGCTTTCCCAATTTCTTTTCAAGTAACATAGAAGCTGCATGAAATCGTGCCATGGCTTTAACAGCACTTTTTAAGTCTTCACCCTTGAAAATTTTAATTTCTCGCATTGTAAATCCATTAGTCCTTACATCTTCTAAGACGATAATGTCAGTATTAGCCAGGTAGCACTTTGGTGCCCATGGCTCAATTTTCCCAACAGTTGTTATTTCTAATAACTGTGGTAACACCTCATTAAAGAACTCGGACTCCTGATTGAATACACGTCGTTGTTTAATAAAAAATGTTTGTTCACTGGAGTCATGTGGTACAGATTTAACGAAAAAACTTAATTTTACAAATTCATGGTCTCCTTTATTTTTTTTTACTGTAATTTCAAGCCGCTGATGATTTCCCAAAAAACCAACCGTATTCTTTGAATAATTTGCCAAACGATGATTAATTATTTCTATAGATTCATCGTCGCCAAATGCACGAACGGCTATCATTTTAGCAACGTCATGGCTGATAATATTTTTAATAGATAACATTTTAGCGCTGTTGGTACTCATTTTATAATGAACAAATAAACGTTATATTATATATAAATGTATATTAGAAAAGATTATGTAACATAATTTCAGTATATTTATCAAAGTCTTTATCTAAATCTTTTCCAAATGTGTTATATTACAATTTTCCAATATGTGTTATAAAATTTTAAAAATTATAAAATTAGTTATCTGCGTTTTAAAGTAAAAGCAAGACTGAATTAATTACTGTAAGAATGTCTTACAAGACAATTATCGAATAGACTACTCGATAAATTCACAATCTTTTATTTTAACCGTTTGAATAAGTGGGGATAATGTTTTACGTTCTCGATCAATTATGTGATCGTAAAAAGATATTTTATAATGTCGCAAGATCGCATCAGTCTATTATCACTGGCATAATGTATTTAATAGCTTAAAACTTATTATATATTATTTTTCAGTTTTACAGTACTTCAAAATAATTATCTTACATATGCATCTTTGAATAACATTTAATCATTTCGAGAGTATTATAAAAACAAAATTTTAATATACCTAAAATATTGTATTTAAAGTTCTTAAAATTTGAAGTTAAAATATAAATAAGAGACTAAAAATATACAAACAATGAAAATACATAATACATTACAATTCACTTAATTTAAATATAATTAAAATATTCTTTCTTATTTTGAGAATTAATAAATTTCATGTTCAAGATTTGTTTACTTCAATTTAATATTTATTTAATTTAATATTTTTTATTAATTATTTTTAATTTATTAATATTAATATAAAACTATTAATTTTTATATTTTGAAAATATTATTTTTAATCCATTATTTGGAATGATTTTAATAAGTTAATCATATAAAAAAGTTACAGCTTATCTTTATTTTTAATACAAAACTATTCATTTTCTTTTTTTTAATTTTTTAATTTTAATTTTTGAATAAAATTTGAATGAAAGTATTATTCTATTAGCTTCATGAAATCATTTGGAACAATTTCTCATCTATTTTATAATTCAATAGGTACTTTGGTACATTATATTTTAGTTTCATATACAGCTATTAGGATTAAAATCTTATCATATTTTGATAAAACAATGAAATTGTTTCATGTGGAATTTTTAATTCTTTGCAGATAAAAAATATTGAAATAAACTTTTCGAATATATATATAAATTTAATATAATGCTGTTATAAATAAATAAAACATAATTATTAAATCATAAATTAATTATATTTTTTAAATAATTGAACATTACTTAAAAACTACAATATTCAATATCTGTTAATTATTTCAAAGCATTCGTAAACATCTAAATAATTTGGATGACTAATTATACTTATAAAAATAAATAAACAATACGATAATTATATTCTGTATTTTTCATTTAAATATTTTATAATTATATGAATAGAAAATGTGTATATTATTATATTTTGAAAATTTAAAAGAAAATGAAATATATTTCATCTTATAAAAGATTTATATAAAAAATTATATTATTAAAAGAAAAATATCAGAGTTGTAGAAAGTTTTAAAATTTACTATTAATCTTAAAATTCAAAAATTTAAATGATTTGAAATTATCTGAACATTGATAAAAATTATGCTTCTGATGGCTCATTGTGTGAAGAAGTTTTTGAGGTCAACGAGTAGCCATTAAGCAGATATTTATAGACTACAAAATTGATATTATAAAATTGGATTTAAATTTTTTTTTTAATTTTATTAAATATTTTTTTAAATATATTTGGTAGGAAATAATGGCGTGATATTTTAATATTAACTAATTTTAATAAGGACAAGAATAATTTTCACCACTAATCAAATTATATATTTTGTAAAAAAATATACACTATATATTTATGCATAAATTTTTCTTCTCTTTTTCCATTGTTCTATTGTATTAAAATTCAATTAAGGATTTATATTAATATACATAATTCTTGTATATTCTATGAAACTAATTAGTTTAAAGGAAAAAATGTTCAAATTTAAGCAGTAACTTAATCAAGGAATTATTATAAAACAGTTATTTCAATTAACAAAACGATTAGTAATAAATTAAGATGTTGTATTACTAAAATATATTTGTTTTTATTTCTTGTAAGTTTAGTATTAACTATTCACAAAAATTTCTGATTATTTATTGTCAGCATATAAGTTTTCATTAAGATAACTTAAATTAGTATTTTTAAGTTACGTTTTTAAATTATAATCTGATTGAAGATCTATATATTTATATTTATTTATATTGTATTACAATGATATTGCAATTGAAGACTAGTAATTGCAACATTAGTTGATGAAATGTTTAAATCGATGTTGATAGATACCTCTGTCATATATATTGCAAAATGTAACTTTCTCTCTTATATCAATTTTTCATTATTATATTTTATTCCCTCTAAATTGAGAGTAAAAAATATGGAAATTTTATACTTTAAAAAAAATTGTTATAAGAAGTAATTTATTATAATAATAGTTAAACATTATTATTAGATATTTTCAACTCCTACTAAACATAATTAATGTGTTATTTAGAAAGTGCGATATAAATTGAAGTAATGTATTAAAAATATTATTACTATGTACATGATTTAGAGTTTCGAAAATGAATACTAAAAACAAATAGTTATTGCATGAATATTAATTCACATACATAGAATATATATGGTAAATATTTATTACGAATAATATATAATTAATTATAATTAATTATGTCCAATTGTTACAGCATTAACTTTTTATCGTCAAACAGTATTTTCTATTTCTAAGTTTTTATCGTTAATTTTACATATGATATAGTTTTAGATATATTTTTACAAAGTAAATATATATATATATATATATATATATATATATATATATATATACCGTATAATATAGACCGTAAATATACACCGTAATAGCATATATTTTCAGAAACATAGCTAAGCATTATTACATTAACATATTATTTCATTTTATCGAACATACAACATTTATGTTTAACACTTTCCCTTGCGTCTCTCCTTAAAGTATTTTAATTTTGTTATTATTGTATTATTATAATATATTTTTATTAGAATAGTATCTGTGTACTAATTTTACAAAAAAATGAAAGATTTACGTAATCATTTGTCTTGTAATTTTTAAACGATAGGATCTATATTCACTATAATTTATATAAAAATAATGGAAGAAAGGAAATTAATTATTCTCCTCATTGGTATATCATGTTCTTAATCTTATAATAATGAAGCTTGAAAAATAGCATTATAAGATTTGATATTGTATAAAGCAAATTATTATTAAACTATATATTACATCCTTTTTAATATATAAAACAATTAGAAAGTAAACTTTAAAACATATTTCTCAATAAACTAGGAAAAAATGAAAATGAAATACATTAGCATATTTAATAAAAACTATTAAATACAATAATTATCGTTAAACATAATTATATATAATCATAATATCTGAAAATTTATATTTTAAAATATATTCTTAATTGAGCAGATAAATTAATATTTAATGTATAATATAGTAATCGGAAAACGGAAAATATTTTTCTTTAAAAAATTATAAATTAACGATATTTCAAATTGTATTAATACATTACAATATTAATTACAATATTAATATTAATACAATTCTACTTAATATTGAATTTTAAATTCTTACGACGAATACATATGTATAGTGAGTTTTAAAAGTTCAACAGACACGATAAAAATAATATTTTATACGGCATATAATTAAAAAATACAATTATTTACAAAATATCATCTACATTTGATTAAGAAATAAATAAGCTGATAAAATATTATCTAAGCATTGATAAATTAAAATCTCTGATACAATATTCAATATATTCAGTACTTTGTTTAAACGGTAATTTATAAGACTAGATAGTGTAATATATTATAATTATTAAAATTAATATATTATAATTAACAATATATTATAATAAATAAAAAACAATAATCATCTAGAATATTAAATAAAGATATCATACATCTATATGATTTTAGCATTATATAAGGTTTTTAATAAATCGCTTAAATCTTTTTTAATTTACTGTTTTTTAATTAATTTTGTTTTTTTTTTTAATTTTTAACTATTGAAGTATTACTTATTTAGCAATTATTTACTTTTACATATTGTAAGCTAAGATAAATATTAACAATATTAAACTACTTAATCAAATGTAATATAATTACGATATTCTTATTTTTATTTTTACATATTCATTTTATTATTACTTATTTTTCAAAGTGAAAAAAGCACTTAAACGTCCCTTCCTATCATTTAAAATCTTCCTTCATTTCTATGATATATACATATATATTTCTATATCATTTCGATAACATGTATATATTATGTATCTTATTGACAATTGAAATTGAAAACTGAAATCAAATTTATATGTAATAAGTAATGGCAGAATTAACTTGGTCCCGGATATTACTGCAACTGTAATGCTATTTATCTAAGTTACTCGAGTTTTTCATAAAATTAAAATTTTGAAGATAATCGAATAACTTGATGGAATAAAATTTCTATTAAAGTTTACAGTAATTTATAACTACAATACTTCAGAAACAAAAATATGAATAAAACTTTAGACTATAAAGGAAAATATTGTTCCGAACAACGCAAAAAGATTATTTCATTAAAGATGCATCCATACATTTTCTTGTAAAATATTGGTAAAATGAATATTAAAATTTCACATGTTCATAGTATTTCTAACTTTAAAATTATTGATAGTTCGTATGAAATTATGTACAATATTCCAAAGGAAAGTAAATTTAGAAAACATCTTGTTTAATTATTTTATTTAATTTTAATACTAATGCACAGATATGCATTCTCAGAATTCAAGTTTATCTTTTTATTTATCATAATGAATCTAATCTTTTATTATTTCTTATTTTTTGAGAATAATTTATCTAGAAAATCATTTTTGTGCTTGAAATTCATAACAACGTGCTTAGTGGAAAATATTTATATGTTTATGAAAATTAAAATTTAATATTTAAATAAAATTAATACATTAACAGTAAATTAAAATAAATAGTCTTATGATATAAAAATCAAATGAGATAATATAGCGTCTTAACTAATAATTAATTTTTTTATTCATAATATCAACTTAATTAAAGAAGACTTGCAGCAAATAAACTTCTTAGCATTACATATATAAAATATTAATTGTTAATAACATTCATTTTATTTAGTTGATTAATTTTAATTTAGTTGAAATATTCAAAATGTTAATTATTAAGCATCCACAAATATTGTATATTTATTTATGATAAAATTTATTTATTTTCATATATATATTTATACATTTACCATTAAAGCGCTTTCCATTAAACTTCCTTGACGTCACGTATTGCACTTGTCTTTATAAAGTCTTCCATGAAATAATTCGAAAAAATAATTCCAAGCAACTGAAAGAATATAAAAAGGAAAAACAATCATAGAAAAAGTTTTTATTTATTACGTTAATATTTTATGGTATGTGATATCGATGCACTCAGCTTCCTTCCAACAAAAAGCATAAAGCATACAACATAAAGTATACAAAAATGTTTGTTTTATTAGTCTACTAGTCTACTAGGAAGATGTGAGACTTACCGTTTATACAAAATATTAGCAAAATACTGCTCCAAAAGAATGCAATTTGCATGTAACAATGAGAAACTTTTAGAGAATCCTACTTTCAAAGATTATATTTATAGAGCTTTATATAGTTATGTAACATATTTTATCACTATTAAAATATGATATATTATATCAAATTTATTTATATAATATTTAATACCATTTATTATTACGTAGAATGTTTTACTTTAATTGTGTTAATGTAATGGAAAAAGAATCATCTATGTACATAATAGTACTAATGTGTAAAAAGCCAATTCAGTTGTGATAAATTATATTTATCATAAAAATGCGCTAATTTGAATCTATAAAATTAAGCAGGTTTCAAATTAATAAAATCTAATAATCATTTTTAGTAATATTTAATTTAATTAAATTGTATAACTAGTTAAGTTAATAGAATAATATGATTTATCAATAGTTTTACAGTTTCGTTCTTTCTTAGATTAAAAAGGACATAGACTTACGTTTATTTTCATACACTTTTATTATATATATATATATATATATATATATATATATATATATATATATACATATATAGACATACACTAGTACAAATTTAGAATTGGTAAACACAGACATTATTTTATAAAATATTCATTTATATTAAAATGATATAATATCAATTGATGTATATGTAAATATCTGTATTGTTTTAGAAATACCAAATATTCAATTGTACAAATATATTCAACAGTTACTTTGGTCGTGGCAAACTGTCCAATATTAAAGACATTTCAACAAGTTCCTCGACCGTTTCTATAAGCTTCTGTTTATATACTGGATCTTCAGCCATAATTTTATCAACAAAGGGTTTCCTATCTTTGAAATAATACGCTTCATATGTAATCGGATTGTCCATGATTCTTGCTGCTGTTATACCATCCATTAGCACAGTCGGATGAAATATTATTGCAGTAATAAGAGCAAGTAATCTTTGCTCTTCTGCACCTTCCAGTACCTCCTCAAACGTTGGCAAGCTACTGTGAAAATCATTGATTTTCAAATGTTCTATTAAGGTTGCGTAATAATATTTTATAACTTCACTTTCACATTTCTGTCTTAATTCCTTTGAAGTTGTCAAATAAAGCAATTGCATAACATCATGAGCTAAAGGCGCATAGCGCACTAATTGGAAATCAACAAGATTGCATCGATTATTCTTGTCGAAGAGTATGTTGTAGCTCCAAAGGTCGCCATGACTAACGACATTTCGTTTATTTTGAGATGGTAGACGGATGTCAAAAATTCGTTCACTGGCTTTGTAAATAGCACTAGCATCTAGTTCAAGATTTTTAGCCAACGAAACCGCTAAATTGATAGCAGTAATGAACCATGTATAGCTACTACCAGTGAGTTGGAACTCCGATTCCTGCATAAGTTCCGGATAAAGCTGGATTAGGCTCTTACCTGCAATAAAATATTTGAGAATTTTATTTCATATAAATATTCGTTTCTTTGTTTAAAATTCTAACAAAACAAAATGGATTTATATATTTATGAGAATGTATTTGCGTATTTACAGGATTTTGGTATATTTAAAGTAGACAAATTCATTTTTAAATTTAAATTGAAATAATGATTAAATAAAATATATTTAAAAAAAAGTAATTATCTTAATTTCAATTAAAATAACAAACCAAAGAATATCCATTTGTATTATACTTATACAAAAAAACAATAATGGCTATATACTTCTATCGAAAAATTTAATTTTTACTACGTTAATACATTGCAAATTTATTAAAGTTATCTTTAAAATTATTGAATGAAACAATTTATTACATATTGAAAAAATATCGAGCTCTTTAGTGTTGTGACTTTATTAAAAATTAATATATTTTAATAAGTAGCTTTACAAATTTATCTGTTAATAACGAGCTTATAATGTATTAATAAATAATACTATTTAAATTATTTAGAATTCTCACAATTCAGTGTTTAACAATTCAGCAAAGTATGATTTAAAATTTTACTTAAAATTTGTTGAAATTTAAATACAAGAATATGTATTAATATCTACCAAGACTTCATTATATACTTGTTAATAAATAATTTAATAAATCATTATTAATATCCGTATTATCATCTAATGTAAACATTAAAAGTTGTAAAATAATAATATGGTTCGCTCGTAATGAGAAAATTAATTAAATATAATTTCAAGTTTTATAGAATAAAAAAATTAAGCAATTGTAAAATCAATTAACAATATAACTATTACTCTGAAAATAAATATTTAAAAAAAATTTTTTTTATTATACATTATTATAAGAAAATACTCTTCATCTAATTCTATATTATTCTTTATTATTTACATCTTTACTACATGTATTATTATACTTACTATAATAATCATATATTATTAAATTATATTATATATTATAATACTCAAGAACTATAATGAATTCTTGAGGTAAATTAATTTTATATTTTAAATAAAAAATTAAGGTGTAAAAACACATATTTAAATTACATATCTATAGTTATAGTTTCTTAATTAATTTTATTTTAGAATACGAGCATTCGTTAGTTATTAAAATAAACGAATTAAATATAATTTTATTATTTTTAGGGCCTACAAACAAAGAATAATTGTAAATCACAATCAAAATAAAAAATTTAAATAAAAAAAAATTTTATCTCCAAAATTTAAGGTGGACTGAATATTGCTTCATCAAAGAAACATTTTTATTAAAAAATTAGAACAATATGCGATTGCAAATAACGAATAAATTATTTATTTGTTCAACAGTTTATAACTTAAAATTTAATTAGTTAATTAATTATAATTATATTATTTATCTTTACTATAAAGTAGAATTTTAATTATTCCATAGATGTTGATTTAAGTTCATTTTTAATAATAATTCTACTTGTAACACATTTATATAAATATGCATTAAAATTGATATGTATTCTAGTAAGTTATTTTTTATATTTGCTTTTTAAACAACATAGGCTTCAGTTGATGTACAAATTAATAATAACTATTTATTTATTCGCATAAATGAAAATCGAATAATTATTTTACCATTTAATTGTTCCTCTGCAAGTAACGAAGAAGCATGGAATCTCGCAATGCAAGCTACTGCGGACAGCAAAGTTTCTTTATCAAATAGTTTCGATCTATTTGTAAATCCCTTAAATTTCAAATCTTCAAATATAATTGTACTTTCTTTTGTTAAATAACAATGTGGTGACCATGTATCTCCTTTGAAATTCTTCGTTAAAAGTGGTACAAGATCTTTAAAGAACTGAATTTCCTTCTTAAATACTCCCTTCTCCTTAACATATTCTGCTTGGGCTGGTATATTATATGGTATGGTTTTTACGAAGAAGCTTCGCCTTTCGTATTCATTGTAGTTTGATTTTTTTACTTGCACAATGAGCTGCAAATGCGTACCTAAGAAGCCAATTTTCTCGTCGGAGTAGCGTTGCAATTTGTAATCGATAATATCAGCCTCCGATGATATAGTACTTTTCACTAAAATTTCCACTTCTTGTCGTGTAACTATAGTTGGTATAATTTCACTACTATTAGACTGAACATTTTCCAAACGATTTACGTTTTTATTGATGAAATTATTATCAGGATTGATGACAATACTTTGTTCAAAAATCATTTGACTCGTCATAACTCGTATACTATAATACTTCTTATTATAATTTCTTTGCTTGAGTTTCTTTATAATTGCTCAATCCAATTTATAAAAGTGGAAATTGAATTTTGTCTGTCATTTTATTAAAATTTTTATCAATTATGTATGTTTATGATTGGAAAAGGCCTTACTGATATAATGGTAGAAAATGTGACAAGAATTTATAAATCTCGCGGAATGTTTTACTATTGCAGATTTACACGCATTACACATCATATATTACATTAATTTAATCTTAAAACAAGGATCGTAAATTCAGGTATATTTAATTGAAACTAAAAATAAGCTTCCCACAGTATTTTATGATATTGTACTTTCGATTTATTTGCTCTTTTTAATGCTCAAAATCTGATAAAAGCAATCGTCTAATAGAGTTTGTATATCTCCCTGGAGTTCAAAAAGATTAATGGTATTATTTTCTAAGAATTTTATTGAAATAACTTTATAATAATTAACCAAATATCTCTTTTTTTAATATATAGATTATTGTTAATTATACAATTAAAAAATATTATTTCAATTAAAAAGAATTAAAATAAGTGAATTTTTTCAATCTTAAAATATAATTAATTGGAATGCAAACAGATGAATAATAATATTATATAAAATAATTTCAAATTTATTTATAATATACGATAAAAATATGAAGAAGATAAAATTAAGACCACTGCTAAGAGTATTCATTCTTTCGATTTTAATGACAAGCTCTACGATTCTATGATAATCTTACGGGGGTATACACCAAAAACTTTTGTCTGAATTTGGAAATTTATACATAAGGTTGAACGGGCTTGTATATACAGATGAATGCACGTACACACGCCCATAAAACAATGTCAAGATTACCCTACATAGAAGCTTATTTATAATATTTCTGCTAATATAGCTAATATATAATATTTCTGGTGTATGTTAATATGTTTCAAGATAAAGAAAAAAGTTTTTGAATGAAATATTTGTGAATATTATTCTTATTATGCTACATCGACTGTCTTTAAGTTTTAGAACATGCTCATATAAAAAAAAAATTCTCTGGATGTCAATATTAATATTTTTTATTATGACTTTTAGTCATTTAATTGATTAATTAATTAATAAATTTACGTTACTGAAATTTTTATTCTAATATAAAGCTATCAAAATATGGACAATTGATATGTGAAAACCGTTATTTTTTATAAATTAATTTAATTGCTACGATTTTATTGAAAATTCTTGTTTATATTTAGGATATATAACCATCGATGCTTATTACCATTATCACTTCCTATTCATAAATCTTCAGATTCTTTATTTTACTTAAAATAGTAATATCATAAGGGGTGTATTTCATACATTAATATATCAGCAATTTGTTCAAATTTATCATGGTTATTCTTTTAACATTTAGTATATTTTTATTTTGTTAAATTAAAAGTAATACATCATAATTATGAAAATATCTTTGTTCATTTTTAAACACACATAGTTTAAGATGTTTTTTTAATAACTACGTTGCATGTGGTAATCTGTCAATTTTTAAAGACCACTCTGCAAGTTCCCTAACAATTTCTTTCACTCTCCATTCATATTCAGAATCTAAGCTCATAATCTTATTAACAAATGGACGTCTATCTTGAAAGAAATAAGCTTCATATGCATTTTCACTATCCATAATTTCAGCTCCAATCTTATTGTTAATCATAATTGTTGGAAAATTGATTGTGGTTGAAACAAGGGCAGGGAATCTTTGTTCCTCTACGCCCTGCAGTACTTCCGTAAAAGTGGGCACAATTCCTTGAAAATTATTGATTGATAGACTCTCTATAAGTTCTTTATAGTAGTATTTTACCATTTTCATCTCAAATTTCTCTCTAAATTCTCTCGTAGTAGTTAGGTAAAGCAATTGCATAACATCGTGTGCAAGTGGAGCATATCTAATCAATTGAAAGTCAACGAGCTTACAGCAGTTTGTACTATTAAATAATATATTATTACTCCAAAGATCACCATGACTAATTACATTACACTTGTTTTCAGAAGGTTTGCCTATTTCAAATACACGATGGCTACTTTCGAGAATAGCGCTAGCATCTAATCCAAGATCTTCGGCTATCGAAATTGCTAAATGGATGGCAGTAACAAACCATTTATAGTTCCGATTAGAAGGTTTATATTCTGATTCTTGACAAGCATTTGGATATACTTTATTTAATGATCTACCTAAAATATGATAAATAGAAATTAAAATTAGCTAATCAAATATTTTCCTTTAGTTTATTTAAAATTTATATTAAATTTTACTCAACTTACAATGATATGAAAGTGACTAAAGTATACTAAATTAATTATCAGGATTAATAAGCAAATAATTTTAACATCATATATACATATTATTATTAATTTTTATAAAGTTATTTTACAATTTTTTATTAAATTATTTTATTCTTACTTCTATATTAAATATATGATTATATTAACCTAACTATAATTATATTTCAATATTAATTATATTAATAAATGTATGTTATAATTATATTAATAAACAATGTATTAAAATAATTTTATTATTTAAATAATGTAATTATATTTATAATTTTATTCTGCAATTGTTGCGATATATTAAACAAAGTATTGATTTAAAAATTAAAATGTAATTATTTTATATAACTTTTCAGAATATAGTAAATATTCACCATTTAGTTTTTCTTCTGCAATTAATGAACAAGAATGCATTCGGGCTATACAAGCTATTGCGGATTTTAAAGTTATTTCATTAAAAATTTTAGATCTATTTGAAAATCCTTGAAGCTTCATATCCTCTAAAACAATTGTATTTTTATTGGTTAAATAGCATTGTGGTGCCCAATCATCTCCTTTGAAATTCTCCATTAAAAATGGCATAAGATATTTAAAAAATTCTATTTCTTTTCGAAAAGCACCTTTATCTTCGATATATGCAATCTGACTTGGTATATCGTAAGGTATTGTTTTTACAAAAAACCTCTGCTTAATATACTCACCATTACATGGTTTTTTGTATTCCAATACAAGGCACAGATATTTACCCAAGAACCCGAGCTTTTCCTCAGAATAAATGTGAAAATTATAATCAATTAGTTCAACGCTTGATGATACAGCATTTTTTAATATCTCTTCCACTTCATAGAATGTAATAATGTTTTTATTTTTAAAGTGACTTAGACCTTCGGTATAACGCTGATTTGACTTAAGATGAAGGGTATTATCGGTAATCGATTGGCAAGACATGATGCAATGATACTTAACGGTAACAATAATAATTGTGAATGTTCAAACAATTTTTGTACATTAAAAAAAGTTTTATGCAACATTTTCTTTTATTGAGTGAATTATCAGATTTCACAATTGCTAATACAAAAATTATTAATAATTTAATCTTTCATCACAGATTATAAATTAATGTACTTTTCCGATTAATAAAATATCATTTTATTGAGTTACTTACTTTTCTGATACATTAAAAATCTTAACAAATATTTGCGAAGCTTGTATTATTAGCTATCTATTAGTGTTTTTATGATTTAATAATTTTTTAATTTAATAAAATATTTCAGATTTTTTATAAAATTTTATAATATTATAACAAGATTTTACGTTTTATAAGATCATTATCATGTACATGATTTTTATTTTAACACCGTATATATGATTTATAAATATTAAACCGATACTTCAAATAATATTAGACGTATACTTTCTTATTAAAATAATATACTTCGATAAAAATCATATTTTAAATGAATTAATAATTAGCTCTCTTCTATTTATCATTATATAGTTTTATAATAGCTTCTATCCTATTTTTAATTAAAGTTCATTTTGATTTTTTGTAAAATATCATACTTGTAGTGATGTTTTAACCTAATATTCTGTACATATTTTTATTTTTAATTAATAAAAACATATTATCCAATATATTTATAAATTTTTTAATAAAAAATAAAGTTTTATTATAAATTATTTAAACATAATACCATAACATAAAATCAAATTACTATTAATGATTATTATTATTACAAATACTATTAACAATAAGTTCGGAAGAAAAACTATTTAATACATGAAGAATAATTTTTATTCTAATTTTAATTCTGATATTTAGTAAAAGAATTGAATTTAAAAAAACTTCTTATAATATTTTATCTAATAAAATTTTTCAATATCAAATTATATTATTATAAATAGATTGTCTTTTTGGTATACTATGTAACTATTTAAGACACATTTTAACATTTTAATGAGTTTAATTGTAGTCATGGCAACACTAAATAATAGCAAGTTATTAAAATATTATTATAAAAAAATTAATTAATTTAAAAAAATTTCTCAAAATATAATTATATAACTTATAATTTATAATAAGGAATTCAATTTTGAAAAAAAAAATATTGCCAAATAATATAATAAGTTATTGTATAGTCAATCGTATTAACAGTAATACGAAAAAGGTATTGAAGTTAAAACCAATTTTGAATATTATAATAATATGTACAGAAACATAATATACATAAAGATTTTAAAGTAAATTATTTTACTGGAGTATACAATATAACTAAAATTACTCAAATTGAGTAATAAAAAGCAAGGTTTCTTATAATATTTATAATAATTATAATACTTACAATTGCAAAATTAATACAATGAATATTTAAATTTTATGATTTATATAATATATTTAACAAGAAATAATAATAAATCATACTGTGAATTATAATTTATAAATAACTCATATACGCATATAAGCAAGGTGAACAAACTAGTTGATCCCGATTGACGTGTACACAACAGTTATTCTCGTCAGAATTTGTATTCAAATATCTTATTAACAATGATTGCTAATGAGTTTGAACACAAGATAAATTATTTTCAAATAAATTTCTGGTAATACATGATAAAGAAAATAAACAATTTATTCTTCTTCGAGAAAAATTTATTATCTTCTTAAAGTACTACCATATTTTTTAAATATTAAGACATAATTTTTCAAAATAAATCTATAAACTTATAAATTCACTTGATAAGTACTTTACACACACAAACACACACGCACACACACATATATATATATATAATTTATTTATATGATTATCTGAATTGAAATTAAATTAACTTTTGGAATCATGTTAATGCAAACAATTTTATTTATATCAAATAAAATTGTGCTAAATAAACAATATTTTGGTAAGAATTGAATACATATAATAAAAGTGATGTTTAAAAATATATGGATTGTAAAATAATACATATTATATGTAATAAAAATATGTCGAAAAGAAATAGTATTTATAATTTAAAAAATTGTATTTAATAGTAACTTTTTGTAATCAGAGTAATTCATTTTTGTGAAACTACATAAATTCAGTTAAAATTTACTCCAATGTATTATTTCAGCAATTCGCATTATAAAGCATAAGCTTTATTGATCGTATCGAAAGTAGCACAATAAGTGAAGATGTATAAATTGTTAATCAAGAAACACAAAGAGGCGAAATTTATGAATATAGGAGCTTCTCTTTTCACGAAGAATAAAATATGGTTAATAACTACGAAAAAAGTATAGTATATTCTAATATTATAATAAATCAAATTAAATTGGTTTTTAAAAATTAGATAAAAATAAGTATGAAAACATGGTTATATACCAAATAAAATTAATGTCGAAATAGCATTCAAACTAGTTTATGAAGTTTCAATATATAATTTATTCATAAAAATTAATTCGACATAAACATTATTTAATAAAAAAAAATATAAACATTCAATAAATAAATTCATGATGATATTAATATGTAATTATTGTTTATTTTTTATTCGTATTTTTAAATTTACACACAACATAGCTGCATTTTTCTTTAATTATTATTATTTAAAAATATATTGAGCATTTTTAATCTTGACTATTTTTAATAAGACTATAAATTGATAATGTAAAGTGATAGAAACATGATTTTCCAACAATTCACATTTTCTTCAACTTTGTTTTGACATTAAAATCATTTTTGAACCTTATTATTTTCAATTTTTTAATCAGAATACATTGCGATTGTACTATTTAATAGATTTATACTAGTAGCGAATTTTAAATTTATAATTCATGGAAGGAACTTTAGAAGATTTATCGGCACTCTTTATACTTGCCATCTATCCGTTTCATTTTGAATGAAATGCAACTCTTACTTATCGGTCGAGCTCAAAACAACAAAGCATAATCGAATTGACGCATTCGCTGTGCCTCTGTGTGCACAAGCATGAGCGCGCGCATGCATGTGCGTTAGGGCGCATATTCGCGCTCATACATTTCATACACTACGTGGATATTATGTAAGAGTAATTGAAAGAGCCGGTAATTTGAGGCTCTTCGTACTGCATGGTTCATTCATACCTGGGTAATTTATAAGAAAAGAATTGATTCAATATCTAAATACATATATGTCATACCGGTCCCATTGCATACGTAGTCGTATAGCAGGCAAATTCACACACATTTGCGAGCATAGGCTCGAAGAAAACCTAAGATAATAAATTGTCGGTCTGCTAAGCGTTTATGTCGCGGACCTACACCGTCGCGTATGGCGTACATGTGCGGTTTAGACGGCGTATAATACGCGCGTGCTTTCATCTTTTTCCCCTTTCATCCCGCCACCCACTTTTCGTATTCGCGCGAGAGAAGTGAACAGAGCGAAGGCTGACTGTGACGAAAAACGAAAGGTGCCACAGGAATATTTTTTTCCAAAAAGGTCAAATGGTAACAAGCGCGTAAGGGATGCCCGGTTGTTTTACTACATTTTTCACGTAGAGCGGGCTTTATCGTGTTCTTTTAGCCTCTAGAATCCGAAACGAGTTTGACCGCTCAAAATACTCACGTGCAAATACCAAAAGAGTCGTTTTTTTTTGTTATTTATATCGTAGATTATTATTATCACACACACCTAAACACGCATTTCGCTGGTTCGAGCGTGTATATATAGTTAATAATTCGCGAAAGTTCAAAGTTAGCTTTAACCTCTTATTTGGTAATGGCGCTGAACCTTTCATACGAGGCCATTGGCAAAGGTTTCGTCCAGCAATATTATGCTATGTTTGATGATCCCACCCAGCGACCGAACCTAATTAATATGTATAATGTAAGCATATATCTACGCTTATTCTTAGATAACTTTATTTTTTATTGCATTAATTTAAACAAACTGTACAAATTGTAACTTTCAGACGGAATCGTCTTTCATGACGTTCGAAGGATTACAAATTCAAGGTTCTATCAAAATTATGGAAAAACTTACAGTAAGTATAATGTATTGATTAAATCTGAGCGATACGAATCCTTTGCATCTAGATGATATTTTACCGTCTACAACAGTACAATAATTTGAAAGCTCTGATTTTGAATACGCAGATGGTCAATTATTAGCTAAAAATTTACTTTCATTTTGTTGCCTTATTATTTGCAATCATCCGTATAAATCCTTTTGTAAATTAAAGTATTTGTAAATTATACAATCCTATGGCTTTTATAATTACTTATTATTTTAGCTGCAAAATTAATTTCTCTATTTATAACTTTATAATAAGAATTAATAAAAATTTTTAAGTAGATAATATATTTATATATATCGGTAATATATTTATATATAGATATTTATATTTTGGCTGTTATAGTTTTTTGTAAAAGTGAACTAAAATTAATTTAAATAGAATTTATTATTAACAATCAATTGTACTAAATTGAAACAATCATATAATAAATAAATATTACAAAATTTAATGTCCACCATTATAATGTAATAGTTTGATATAGAATTCATAGGGTATTATGAAATACAAGTTTATTAAGTAAATAGTATTAAGTATTAAGTAAAATAAATAAAAATAACGTATACAAGTTAAAGCATATTTATATATATGTATATGCATAACAATTACAGAACATAGTTTTTGCCAGTATAAGATATTAAAATATTTGTATTTAAATTTTATATTAAATTAATTATAGTGTTCTCTAATGACTTAAATATACATAAATATTGTTAAACTTGATTTTTCAATATTATTAAAAAAATATTCTCAATCTATTTATAAATAATGAAACTAAATTTTTATTAAAATTAAAGTGATCTATTTAATATTTTCTTTCTCTTAGAGCCTAACTTTTCAAAAAATCAATCGGATAATAACAGCTATTGATTCGCAGCCTATGTTTGATGGTGGTGTTCTTATCAATGTACTAGGAAGGCTGCAGGTAAGCTTTTAATTCTAGTATATTTTCTTTAACTTATCCTTTTTCTAGCATTGCATAATTAAGCGAATGATTGTTGTTATAAGTATTATGAGATTTATGGAAGATTGTGACACAAAAACTTGCATACAGCATTTGTTTTCTTTCCTTTACATCATAAATGTCGTCTGGACACTGTTAAAGTAATTAGTTTTATTACTTCACATTTTTTTATGTCAAGTAGAGATTGAGCTAATAACAAGTGTCCAGAGACTATCTCACTTTAAATCTACATCTTTAATGGAAAACTCAGTGATCATTCATGGTTGGGCAGACTGATGATGATCAGCCTCACGCCTACATCCAGACATTTGTCCTGATGCCAATTGGCACCAGCTTTTTCGTGCAGCACGATATCTTCAGACTCGCGCTACATGCCACTGTATAAACAACTACGAACGATCGTCCGCCGATCTTCATACTGTGGTAAAGGCAGTCCCTTAAATTGAGCTGCAGTCATTTTTGCTTTGTTACATTTATATGCATTGCTTAATTTTTTATTTTATCTGTATCCTACTATACCCACCATAAGTAAGAAATGTATGAGATTATTTATGTCAAAAGCTAAATAAATTTATAATTTATAAGGATTTAAATTGAAGGAAACAGCTTATCAAAATTCATGATTTTAGATTGTTTTTTAAAGAAGTCGTGCAATAAGTGTATAATATATTTTCGATTCATATAATTTTTATTTATTTAATTAATAATATTATTTATTTATATTATTTGACAAATATATAATTTACTACTAAATTGATTTAAATGTTATAAAGTTAATTTTATTATTAAAAATATTCAAAAAAATAAACCAAACTTATAATTTCAATGAATTGGATATGTCAAATTTATTAAATTGACTTACTTTTTCACCCATTTTATAAATGTACGATTATGCATATATAATATGTGCGCGCACACACACGAACGAGCGCGCACGCACGCAGTGTGTATTTGATTATTTATTTATTTATTTATCACTATAAGGGGGAGTAATTATATTATTATAGAAAGATGTCTCCTTAAAGTTGTTGAATAATTGAAAATTTATTGTTTAAAAATTAATAGAATCGAAAATATGTAAATTGTATAATTTACTGAATAATAACTTCCTAGAGATATAAAGTTAGCAGCATTAAATTAATTTTAAATTACATGAATTCAAAACAACCTATGTTTATAAAATAATTTACAATTTTTAATTTTTAAAAGTTCTATTATTTACCCATTTGATATTAATTTAATTGAATTAAATTAATGTTATGACTACGACTTTTATTTATTTATTTTTTTAATACATTATATTACGTTACAGATAGTTAAAAATAAATAGTTAAAATTATGAAGTTTAAATTACAATTGAAATTCTTATTGCAGGCAGATGATGATCCACCACACGCCTTTTCGCAGATATTTGTGTTGAAACCGTTAGCCAATTCGTTCTTTTGTCAACACGATATCTTTCGCCTAGGTATCCATGATACTATATAAATGAATGATTTTACTGACTCTAAGAGATCAGTTGATAATAACAAGAAATAACGGCTGAAATAAATTGAGGATAAGCGAACTACTTTTACATCATAAAGAAAACATTTTTTTCATCATAACGTTACACAATGTTTGCCTCTCTTTAGGTATCACTGTTTTTATACAAAGCTGCTTACGTGTCGGCGAAAAGAGGATTTAAGAATAAATAAGTTTGATATTAATGAAGCCTCATTTCTTTATATTTTATATAACTTTATTTAAAAGGTTTTTTTTAGAAAGTTACATCACATATAATGGACTTGTTATGGTAGATAAAACTATTGATACACTAAGACAATAAATTATTATACATAGTTATGAAATAATGCGATCTCTTTTCAAAAATAGCTGCACCACTAACTATTTTATTTAGATGAAATAGATTTTTCAAAAAAAAATTGAGATTTATTATTTTATTTATTATATTATAATTTATTTTGCAATTACAAATTGCCTCTCTTTGCTTGCTCTATTTCAATTGCTTCGAATAATGCTTGAAAATTTCCAGCACCAAAACCCTGGAATAAATGAAAAAAATTATTAAATATTGTTTACCTATGTTTAAAAAGTATAAATAAAATATATTTTTTTCACAAATAATTAATAGTTTTATGATATACTTTACAAATTATATTATTACTTCCATTATAAAACAATCTAATAATTATGGAAAATCTTACATTATGATTACATCTCTGAATAACTTCTATAAAAAATGTTGGCCTATCTTGCATATTCTTAGTAAAAATTTGAAGTAAATATCCATTCTCATCATAATCTATGAGGATTTGCAATTTTTGAAGAATATCAAGATCCTCAATTACATTTATGTTACTTAATTGAAGTCTTTTTCTCAATATTTTATAATAACTGTCAGGCACACTAAGAAATTCAACTCCTCTTAAACGTAAATTTGAAATCTATATAAAAGCGATTATCATTATCATTGTGTTGTGAGCAGGATTCTTTTAAATGTCATATTTATTTGCATATTATATTATAAAAAAAAGTCATTTAATATAAATAAATGTAGTGGTGTATTAATATACATCATTTATTCTTTAGTTAATAGCATAAGATAGAATAATTAAAATTTTTTTACATTTCATGTTTACAACAAATTTAATAATACCAGGTTATATTATTTATAACCATATTATTATACCTTTAGGAAACGTGTATTATATGCATAGTTATATGAGCATTTATCTATTTGCTTTGAAACAATACAAATTCTTTAAAAAATGTTAAATTATAAGACTAAGTTAAAAAAATATCATTTAAAAAATTATATCAAAGTGTTAATAATCTTAAAAATTTAATTCTAATTACATTAATAATAAACTATTTGTATATCATTATAAAAAATTACCAATTCGAGAAAATATAAAAATAGGTGTTATTTCAACTGTTTTACATAACAATAAAAATAAGATTTTCAAAATGTATTTCAATTTACATAATCTCGGCATATAATTTTTTAAGTTTTTAAAGTAAATTATTCTATATTTCGATTATTCAATAAATATACGTATGTTTATCATAATTTTTCTAGAATTTAAAAGTAAGTTTATATTTATTTTGACTTATGTAAAAATCAAAACTCACGGCAGTTATTATGTCATCAGTATTAAGTGCAATATGTTGAACTCCGGCACCACCATAATATTCAACATATTCCTGAATTTGTGATTTTTTTTTACCAAAAGCTGGTTCGTTTATTGGCATTTTTACTGTTTCTTCCCAGTTTGTCATTACAATCGAACGTAATGCTGAAAATTCCGTATGCAATTGAGAATCATCAACAGACCAAAATCTATGAAATTGCAATAAATCCTCGTACCTATTATAAATAAATTAATAAAATATTATTTATAATTTTATTTCATCTAAATGATATTCAATATTTACTCAAATAACTAAAACACAGGCAAATCATTTTATATACAAGTATACACCCAATCACACATATACAATTCTATATGAACACAATTAGTGGGAATAAAATTGGAGATCAATTAATTTAAATCAATATCTTTTTACCCATTTTTAACAGTGTATCATCAAATTATATTAAAATAAAAGATGAAATTTACTTAAAATATCTTTTTAAATTTTACAATGTACCATTTTGCTATTGGCTCCATTTGTTGATCTGGTTGATTTCCAACAATATGATCGATAAAATTCAAATTAATAGGTGGTCTGAAAAATAGTTATTTAAAATTATTAGCTTATATAACAAGCAAAAATGTTTATATCAAAAGCAATAATATATTTATTAATATATATTATTATAAAATATCATTTTACGACTTACAAAAGTTTTGCAATGACATCCCCTTCTATTTTTCGGAAACCTGGTAAAAATATTCCATTATATTTGGTTCGATCAATGAATGTATGAAGTGTATCTCCATACTGTAATATATAAAATAAAAATATGTAAAATTGCAATCACTCTTATAAAATAAATATTTATAAACTTTTAAATCTTAATATAAAAATCGATTACTTTGGATTTGATAATATAAATCCAAATCCATAATTTACGATGTAAATTTATAAAATATCAATTTTTTCTATTTGTACCTGTAAATAAATTTAAGAAATAATATAATTTCTCATAAAAAATGTTATTTTTGTATAAAATAAAAATAGAATTATAAACTGTTACGAAGCAAATTGTATATATAATTATAAAAAATAATCACTTCAATTTAATGTAATTTTTATTTCATTATTACATGTATATTAGAAAATAATCTACAGAAAATCTTGTAAATTTTTAAATATATTGTATTTTTAATATAATACAACGTATTGATTTTTTAAAATAATTTAAGCAAAAAAATATATGAAATCCAAGGATTGTTTCAAAAGTATTTTATTTTATTTTATAATAAATGATACGTATATAATAACGTTTCCGGAATATGAATTACTTTATTGGAAATTTAGATGACTACATTTATAAAATCGCTGATATTACTAGATAGAATTGTTCGATTGTTTAATATTATGTCCTTCCAAAAGTTATAAAATATTAAATAAGAAAGCATTAGATTCATGAATCTTTTCATAAGTGTAAATTAATATAATACATTTATTAAGAATTAATGTTTGGTATAACATAATTAATAAGCTTTCTCAAATAAAACAACTTATATATTTTTATTTAATTTTATAAAAATATAAGTTTTCAAACTTATAATATACGATATTTAAATTTTGTTATATAACGTGTTAATAAAAATATGTTACTAGTATTTCTGGTCATTATTAATTATTAGTTTTAAATAAATAGTTAGTTTGAAATAAATTATTTAATTTTTTAAATCTCATCGCGTTTCCAGAATCACAAGAATGGAATATAAAATACATTGTAAATTTGTAATATTGAAATAAAATAAACTTGAGTAACAAGGTTAATACAATAAATAAAAATTTTAATCTATTATAAAGCATTTAAATTTTAAATTTAATATTTCTATATAATATTATTTTAGATATACTAAGTTTTGTTAAATCTCATAAATTTTAATTGTAGACCACTGCCTATAATACATAATTTATAAGCTGTTGTTTTGTATATTTTGTATTAATTTATAGCATTATTTTATAATATATTCTTGTTCGTACTGTTTTCTGTTTTAAAATAAAATTTTAAATAATTTATACTATGTAAATATACAAACGTATGAAAATACTCACAGTTTGTAATGTTGCAAATCTAACAACGCCATATTTATCTTTTTCTTCCCACAATTCTCGAATAATTTTGGCGCCTCTGCATTTAGCAATCTATAAAATGTTAGCTAAAACTTTCATTCTTCGCTTTTAAGTATAAAAATTTCTATACATAAAAGATTATGCTAATGAAAAGTACCTTAAAAATGGTATCAATATCCTTGACGTTAAAGGCAATATCACGAACTCCATCTCCATGTCGAGAAAGATGATTGGCCATCTCTTCGTTATCAGGTTCATAAGCTGATTCAAATACGAATATAATCTAAAATTCAGTAACAATGAAATTAAAATTGTAGATTTTAGAAAAAAATAGATTATCAAAAAAAAAACAACTAATTCTTAAATTTATTATAACAATTTATCTAACAAACAAATATTTCAAATCTCGTTTTTCTATATATTTGTATTTAGTATATTAAATTATACAATTAATTTTTTACAATTGAAAGAAATGTGTCTTAAAATTGTAAGAAATAAACATTAAATTCAACATAGGAATAAAGCATTTTTACTATTTTTAATGCCACCATCAAAATTAAATATATGAATATTCAAGTATTATAATATAATAATATCATAATAAATATAATGAATCCTCGACAATATAAATTTTGGTTTTAAATTTGTAATTTAAAAAATCGAAATTACGATACATTCATTTTTTTAGCAGTATTCAAAATTAAAAAAAAATAGTAATACAATATTGTTTAAATATATTTTTATATTATCTAGCATTTTCATGTATAAATAAATTCATAGAAAATACGATTCTTTCATAATTCATAATCAATTCTTCATAATCGTAATCATAATAAAAACTTTCCAGACTTTCCAGATTATTTGAAATAAAAAAGTTGAAAATTACAAAATATATACTTATCTTTATACCGTTATAGTAAAATAAATTCAAAATATGGTATTAAAAATATGGTACGGTAAATATGAATTCAACGAAACTAGATATAATGTTATATGACAACATTTCATTATAATTTGTAATATTATAATTATAAATCTATAGCTTTATTAAAATAACTAGCAAGTTACATATTTAGAAATATATTGTTTTAAAAATACTGTAAATAATAGATTAATTGAATATTAATTAAAAATACCTGCATAACAAAATAATATTTGTTATTAAATCAGAAAAATTCCAAAGTTTTTTAATTCATAAATAGTTTATAATAAGCAACCTGAGTATTGACATTATTCTTACAATCATTCATTATTCTTATAAGTATTTAATAAAGAATAAAAGTAAATTATAAACATATTCTGATTTTTTTATTAACTTTTCTAATTAACTATAGTAATAATAATAATAATAAATGATTTTCAGTTATATAATATGCTTTATAACAAATATCTAATACAGTATGAAACTTATTTTTAAAAATAATAGAATTTTATTACAAATCGAGATACTTTTATTATTTAAATACAATAAAATACTATTAATATAGAAATAACATTCCAACCAATATTAAATTTTAATGATTAATCAATGTAAAATAATAAATAATGTATCTTTCATGTATTATTTTATTACCTTGTTTAGCTTAATAGCGTGCGCTGCCTTACATCGTGAGCCCGTTTCCAAGCCATTATATCCTAATGGTTCAAAGCCCATCCTTGCACAATAAAAACTAGCAGCCTATTAGACAATTTTTTACAAAGTTATTAAAAAAATTTTATCTAAAAAAGAGTATATTTAATTATGATACTTTTGAATACTATTATATATAAATTATCTTGTAATTATTAAAATCGTTATGGTGAATTATAATTATCAGTGTGTATGATGCTATAATTAAAATTTAGGCTTAAAGAATTTGAAATTGTTGCTTAATATGAATGAATTACATATTCAAGCACATCAATTCTTTCAATATAAATTATCACTATTCACCTGCTTTGCATTTCCAACCCAAAATTTTACGTGATCAAAATTAAGAAATTGTCCTCCATTTGGCTGAAAATAAATTTATGAATTGTAAACATTATAAAATTTTTACGGAATTCTAGCTATTTTTTAAAAATTGTAATATAAAAATACCTTAAGTCCTTTTTTAGAATACGTAGTCTAGAAATAAAAAATTAACACTAATTGATTATTCAAATAATAATATTTAGAGAACTTCATTGGGAGTTATATTTATATCCTGTTTTGAAAAAGCTTTAAATTGTAATAATCTGCATTTTATTATAATAGAATAATTAAATATTTAACTTAATGAAAAACAAATGCCAAATAAATAGAAATATTTTTTATTCATATTTAGAAGCATAGTAAGAAGCATAGTACCTCAGTACACCATTAATATTATTTATAATTATTTTAGATCAAAGATTTTGTGAAAAGCAAGATATAAATTTAAATAAATTACTATCTTATAGATGGTATTGTAATTACTTCATATAATACAAGGTACTCTGTAAATTATAAATATTACCTACAAATATTTTAGAATATTATTTATGCAAAAACGTATATATGCACAGAAATAGGCTTATATACGGTTATTGCAATACAAGTTAATATCAAATTGCTATCCTTATTACAATTCAAAGTATTGTATATTTGAATCTATACAAAATATTGCGAATTAAATTTTTTTTTTTTAAATAAAAAAGAAAACAAATTGCAAATTGACAGTAGTTCTAAGAATCAAAAACTTATAAGCAATGTTAAATAGTAATATTTTTGAAAACTTTTTAAAACTATTGTAAATATCAATGAATGCGAAAGAATTTTATAAATTTAAAAGTGATAAAATTAATTAATGCTATGTACATCATAATTCAAACTTATTACTTTTGATTTAAGAGTACAACTTATAAATTACCATTATATTACAATAAATTAATCTTTAATTTTGGAGTAATTAATACAAATCAAATAATCGTTCGTATAAAACCAAAAATCAGAAATGTTTTTTGTAAAATGTTGCATTCGACTACTGATTCCTCCTTTAAATAAGCTCAGGCCTCGAACCGATCGAATAAGTTCAATCCGGGATTGGTCGAGGCATAGAGGCTTGTTTATCAGCCTGTCGCGTTTTCGAGGAGCGAGAGCGAATACATTAATTGTTGGCATTCAAGTATTTTTTGATTTTCCATATCTTCACCTCTTCTATTGAATTGTATTTAGCACGGCGATGATACGTGTTTCTCATAGGCTCTCAACTTTCTCAAGTGTGATATTCTATTCATATTTCAATATCTTAATTGATTTCCATTTATTTTGATTTCATATTTTTTAATTTTAATAAATAAAATTTTTTAATTTAATATTGTTTCTAAAATTAATTATTATTATTATTTATTTTATTTAAAATAAATAATATGATTTAAATTAAATTTCAGTGTTCGTTTAAAAGTAACTTGGAAGATTTAATAAGCAAGCAGTCAACATTAGTTAATAGCTTAAGTTGCATTATTAATTATATTATGAATATAAACATTTATTTATAGTTAGTATTTATACATATACATTAGTAATCAACTAAATTTACATTTTTATTTATTAATTTTGTATATAAGCCAGTTCAGACAATTATCTCTATGAGTCTATTGACACGATAATAAAAATAATGGATTTACAAAATAATACCTTTTAAATAAATTAATTATTTTAATTATTATAAGTATAGATGCATGCATTTCTGGTGGACATTAAAATAATTATTTTTACAAAAGTAGTACGTACAAATATATAAACGAATAAAACTAAAAATTGTCATAATTGGTTCACATCGTAGAATATTTCAATAATTAATATTTTTAAAGAAACTTTATTGATTTGTGCTTGTTTTAAAACTATTATAATATTCAAATTGATGTAGAAATAGAATTCCATTAATTAAAATATTTGATTAATATTCAATAAATAAATTTTAAATATACGATAATATTTTGAAATATGTTAAAGTGTACTTAAATTTTAAATGCAAAATACTTATTTAATAAAACTATTATTTTTCATTAATTTTCATTAACATTTAATAACAAAATAATAATAATATTACTATTTATTTTATTAGATTAGCATAATTGAATTGAACAGAATTGAACGTATGGTTTTTATTTTCAATTCAAAATATAAATTTATAATATACATGCTATATCAACTTAATTACGTAAATCTAAATAAAAATATGTAAAGTTTTGCAATTGAATATTATTAATTGTATTGGTATTTTCTATTATATAAGTAAAACATAAACTTTTATAAGTTAATATTATTCGAATAAAAATATATGCTTTAAAAATTATTTTTATTTCGTTATATTGAATAATTATTTTTAGTGAAATAACTCGAAATTCCTTTGCAAGAATAATATATGCATACATATAATAAATATTGATATTTATTAAAGTGTATCAAAAATACATTCATTTCGACTTTAAAATAGTATATTATTAATAATATATTAATTAATTACAACTATTTTTATAATTATAAAAATATAAGAAATTTTTTACTACTCAACCAATACATTGTTATGACATATATATTTTATTAATAATAATAAAATCATTTATTTTATACATTAATTTGCTTAAAGTATATTGTAGTCTTCTAGAATAATTTAACCTATGATTTTTATTAATTAAGTTTTTAATCAAAATACTAAAAGAAAATTGTTTAATGAAAATTATTATTTATCTCAATCTACTATTTTTTAATCGTATATGTACATATATCGTATAATAACATTTTGTATATTTTTTTAGTATAATAAATTGAATATGAAACTAATTTAATCGTTGATTCGATCAATTCAACAGTACAAACATTAATAGTTAGATTTAAATTAAAATAATTTATTTTATAAATAAATATTTATATTGTTTGTTGGTTCTTTTATAAAAAAAAGTTATTTTAATTGAAATTATTATCACGACATTGTCTGTATATTTATAGTTCATAATAATAGTTTTCAAAAATTTTTAAAGAATAACCGTTTATCTGTCTTTTAATAATAATTTTTCAAAAACGTTGAAGTCATTTATATATAATATATCCATATATTTTATTATTAGACATGTCAAATAAAGTAATAGCTGAGTTAGAAACAGATTGCTTTTTATCTTTGTAACTAAAGTATCTATAAAACATATGAATAACATCAATATACATCAAATATTCGAGAAATCTAGACGGAATACGTATTATGCTATACTTTATAAAAATAATATGATAATTAACTTGTCAAACTGGGATGCTGGTCTTGCCATTAACTCGTACGATAGCTAACTCGAATGCACGATTCGTTTCATCAAATGAATCCAATACCTAATGAAAATTCTACGTTATACAAGTATGTCTAGAATTTTATCGATCTCGGAATATCAATTAATTTAAAAAATTATGTTTAATTATATTAGTAATTTAAAATCATAAATTCAGACACATGCATAAATATAATACATATACATATATATCTCTATTAAAAATCAACTATATTTTAATTATTTTTCTTAATAATGTAACTGCGTTAAAATGAATACAATTTACAATATATGAGCCATATTATGTTACTTTATAATTCATTAATTTATTCAATATTTCCAGAAATTTTTCAAAAGAGTGGGTAATTTGCGAATTAAATTAATGATTTTATGTTTCAATTAGCTGTTTAAAATAATAAACTACATTACTTAAAAATTTATTATATTTATTATATTTTATTTAGAAATATAATAAGTAAAGACAGATTGCTTATTTTAAAACTAAAATTCATTTTGAAATTAATTTAAAATAATTTTATACTTAAATTGTTGATCAATCATTGTTATCTTCATATATACAAATTGCATTAGATTTTTAATTCAAACGATTATTGAAAATATAGCTTTTGTTAGTAATCAATTATATTATAAGACTTTAATTTATTTAAACAGATTTTATTTCTTAAAAATTTTTAACAAAAATAATTATTGTTAATATTAAAATATAAAAAATAAATGTATTTGATTATATTTTCCTTATTTTTAAAAGTAAGCTTTTATACACATAGACATTTCTATTGAATTGCAGATAAATGTCAAAAGCAACTTCAGAAAAGATATACGTTTTTACGAAAAATCTTAATTTTATTAATAAATAGCATTCATCGGAAATTTTTCTTTGTTTCTAATTGTTAAATATTTAAATAATATTAAATGTTAATTATTTGTCTTAAACAACCGTATTTTATAATGCTTCGTAAAGGAAAATTAATTAAAATTAAATGACACCTGACAATTCAACCTTAGTTTTTAAAATCTTTTAAATAAATATAATACAATATATTTACAGTTGGTTTAAACAATAATTATAAATAAATAATTCTGTTGTATCATAATTTTCAAAATATTTAATTTACTTCTTAATATAAATTTAAATATTATACTTCATATATTATGAAAGCAATACGATTGGAATAATAAAAATGTAAAATTAATCAAATATTTTGAAATATCAACATTATAAATCTAGTCTCTTTGTTTAACGAATATTGACAATTTCACATTATTGGTAATACAATAATGCATATATATACTAATTCTGTTTTTAACTAAAATATTAATTAATAAATTCTCATTTTTAATTTAAAAGCACAGTAATTTTTGCAAATTCTAGATTTATCAATTTAAGTTTTTATTAGAAATTTTATTTAAAAAAAATAATACTAATTCTTTTATACATTATTTATTAAAATTATACCTTTTATACTTTACTTAAAAATCTAATCGAAAGTCATGAAATAATTTATATCTATAAAATAATCATTTTCAATAAAAAAATCTTCAATACTTTTTCTTGAATAACAATTTTTTTAATTTTAAAATATTATTAAAAGCATTCTGTTACTCACAAAGAGCAAAGTGTATACAATGGCAAAATATACTCTCATAATTGTAATTACATTTACGGATAATTCTTTAAAGATATTAGTTTGATTAAATATCATTTTGTTGAAGATTAACGCACCTATATAATACAAGAACTGTTTCTTTTACAAAAATATCATAATAATTGTCTTTATTATCTATGATAATATTATTAATATGATAATATTATGATAATATTATTTTTGTTATCTATTTTTTATACGATAATTACGTATAATATATTTTTGTTTTGTATTGGACACTACATTTAATTATTTATGTAAATTAAAAAATACTTATTATAATGCGTGAACTTAAAAAGCTTTCGAGTATTAATTTTTTAAATTATTACATAATCAAAAATTAATCGTCCTTACATATTAAATTTTAAAAATAACTCTTGGACTTTTTAATATTTTATTTTTGTAAATAAATATATTTGTATACATCATAAATATGAATTTGGCCTAAATGCTTAAAACTTGTAAAATATTAAAATTACAGTAATAAATTATATATATAAGGATTTGTCTAATGAACATTACATCTATAATTTTATCGTCAAATAAAGTGCATGAAATTAATACTCTAATTAAGTATCTAATTAAGTGTTAAATCACTAATAACTTGAAAAAATCTATTGGTTATTGGTCAACGCTTAAATGATGAAATTAATTAAATTCTCTGGTATGATTATATCTGTACATAAATTATATTCTTTTATATTTTTCTATTTTATAATATTATAATCATGTGATCCCTTTCAAGTCTACGCTTTGCTTTTAGAGACACTATTCCCATTAAGTCCGCTGGCGTTGGAAGACCTCCAATAGTACTGGGAGCTATAGCTTGTTGATAAAATACTTCGATGTTTCCGCATTGATTGCCATAAACGACTGTATCGTCCGTCCTGAAGCATAATGAAAAATTTTAATTATTAGAATTTGGATTATTTATTATGAAATAAAAATATTAAATTATTGTAATTTAAAAGCCTTTTACTTATAATTTTGATTTGTGATTGTTGTCATACATTATATAATTTTAACTCCTAAGATTATTCGAAAAAATAGAAACTAGGGCGATCTCATCGTACAAGCATTATCAAGATTATAATTCAGTATTAACTCAATTATAATTTTGTATAATCAACGCAAAGGATTTTCCTTTTTCTTTTTTATTTTATCTGATCTTTTTTATCGCAAATGTTAACTAAGACATGCCATTCGGCTCTTTTTTATTCCGTCTTCCTCGTCTCCACCCACGCCCCTTTGCTCTTTGCTATCCAGCCCGCAACTACGGCACTGCGCGCCTCCATATACAAAATCCGCAAC